AACGCTTTGTGGGTACGCTTCCTTCCTGTTCGGATGGCACGTGCACGAGAAGGCCATCTTGACGGTCATCATCCCGTTCAGCCTTATCGCGCTTAAGGACCGCCGGTATCTCGGAGCGTTCCGCCCTCTCGCCGTTGCCGGCCACGTGAGCCTGTTTCCCCTGCTCTTTACCGCCATGGAATTTCCCATCAAGATCTTGTACACCATCTTCTGGCTGGTAGCATTGCTTTTGGCGTTTGACCGGTTGGCGCCTGCGTACGTATCTCCCACCCACTCTCATTTCCTCATCTCTTTTGAATGCTCTCATAGTCGCCCCATTCGGTCCCCCCCTATTACCTAAGGTGTCATCTTCCGGATTGTTCCACCTGGACTCATTTTCCTTTTCATGCACCTCATTATCAAGCCCCCCCTCGTGACTCTTTTCACTGACAATGGCCTGATCCGATCACACAGTTCCCCACAACCGCGGTTCTTCCTTCTGGACCGCTTCGCGCTGCTGTACATCGCGGTGGCCATTCCACTGATCGCGTACACGTCGCTTGTGCACCAGCTCGTTTTCGGCGCACGCTTCGAGTTCCTTCCCCTGATGTTCACGAGCTCGTACTGTGCCGTTGGCGTCTTCGGCAGCTGGGTCGGCTTCCTGAACGTATACATGACCTCGTGAGAAGAGATGGCAATCGAAACCTACCGATCGTTTTATTCGAGGTCGCTAGGTGATGGGATCAGGTCGAGAGTGCCCCCTCCCTCCCCACCAAAAAAAGGACTGATAAGCTCATATCCTTCTCCTCACTCTTTCTTGATTTGCGGGTGTGTTGATCATGATGTGGCTTGTGACTCCTAGATCGCATCGTCGTGTGGTATCTCGAATCGGCAAGTGAAGGTAACCGTGGGCCATGCCTGTAACCAGGGGAGTGGTCAAGTTTCTGGAGAGCAGCCCGGATCAACCGTGTGGTAAGAATGAAAAAAAGGAAAACTTGTAGCGCAAAGACAGAAGGGGGACAGTTCACCCCACTTTATAAGTAAACAAAATCCTTCCCGCTCCACCAAGAAAGAAAGAGAGAGACGACAAGGAAGGAACTGCAAACAGGTGTCCTCGTCTAAGCGCCCGACGTTGCCGCGCGGCGCGTCCCGCATGAGGCTTGCTCTGCTTAGCTGACTGGTAATAATCCATCCGGGGCGGGCGTACCGGGCTCCTCCAAACGCTCAACGGCCAACGACCCAACCCTCTTCCCCCCTCCCCCCCACCCCCCGGCGAGCCTGTTCTCGCTGCGAGATACTGCACGGCAAATGCAAAAAGCATGCAGCATGCAGGCGAGCGGCGGGCGCGGAAACGCAAGGCCTCCCGCTAGGTGCTGATGCCGGCGGGTGAGAGGGGTCGGCCCGCTGGCTTGGGACTGCAGGCTGACGGGGGGAGGGGGGGAGGGGGGACTTGACTGCACTGGACTGGACTGGACTGGGCTTAATGGGCTGGACTCGCTCGCTCGCTCGCTCGCTCGCTCAGCCCTGTTTTGATCCCTCTGCCTGCCTGCCTGCCCCCTCCCCCTCCCCCTCCCCGCTCGTTCGCATGTGGATCGGATCGGACGGATGGACGGGTGGACGGACGGGGTTGTGACGTACATACATACACACGTCCGCCCCCCGGCGCGCGCGGTGCGAGGGCGGAGAGCCGATTTGTTCGTTTCCCCCATTTTCTTCCCCCTCCATGTTTTTTTGCTCGAGCTTTGTGATTAGGGGTTGTTGCCTTTCGCTGGTGCCTTGCGTGTCTCTCTCTCTCCCTCTCTCTCCTCCTCTTCTCGAGCTCGTTGTTTGTCGCTTGCCTTGCTTATGCTTTTTCGTGGTCGCCTCGTTTTATCCGGAGAGGGTGGAGGACGCGGGTCTCGGGCGGCGGGCGCTTAGCAAGCGACGTCTGACGGTTGGATGGCGGGGGTTGGGCTATCTAGGCGAGTTGGGGCACCGGCACGACCCGGGCATTCGTGAGTTAGGTATAATGGCTTTTTTTTGGGCGTGAGTAGAAGCTGGCCGCAGCCGGCGCCGCAGCCGCCCTTGGCAGAAGGGGGGGATACGTACGTGTGTAGGAGGTTTTGTTTCCTGTGAGGTTTATTGTGACTGAAGTCGGTCCGGCCTTCCTGCCTATGCGGCCTTTTTGGCGAAAGAAACAAACGGCGTTTTTTTCTTTTCTTTTTGGTCGAGTGATGGAAGTGGCGTCCGTGATCACGAGCGCGACGCACGTCGCTGTGGGGCACCGGCCGTGATGGCGTGTCTGTGTGACTTCCAGCACTGGTGATCGTGAGGACCTGGATGCCTTTCTTTTCTTTCCGGGAAGCTCACGCGTGGGATAGGTTCGGTGGTGTTGGCTGTGGGAGTGCGCAGTGACGGGTGAGGTTCTTCAGCTGTTCCAGTCCGCCGGATGAACTATACTGCAACCGGAATTGCTCTCCTCACTTGAAGAGGTAATGCGTTTCTTCAAAATTTGGTTAGATTGTTGGATTTACGGCTCGGCGTAAGTAATGTGCACCCCCCAAATTTTCGTCGAGAGCTCAAACAATCTTTGGGGTTTGGAAGTCATGGCTCTTTGCGTTAATTCCTAGCCTCCAGACGAGCACGACATTGACTCAGTACTACGGTTTTCTCGAGTGGACGGGCACCTTGTCTCATGAAATGACAAACGCGTTGTCAAACCTATCAAAGAATAAAAAAAAAGGCTGAAGATTTATCACACAGCGTAAAAACTTCTAAGGCAGCTAAGGCGACATAGATGAGTTGAGGAACCAAGGACTGTTGAACCTGTTACCCTAGTTAACAATTGTGGCAATGAACATACGTACCCGTGCATACGTTTGTTTAAGCAGATGTGGATAGAGGTCCATATGTAGGTGAGGATACTTTGATGCATCTGGTGGATTCTGAGTAGATCATGGTCTGGACAAAGAATACATTATTGTTAAGCCCAAGCATTATTACATGTAGGAGTGGTTAGAGGAAGGGATGTTCCGCGGGAAAAGAGCGGAACCGTTTGCGGAAGTAAAGGCAACAGGCACGTGCTAGGTTTCAAAGTGTGGGTTTGGATAAATTCAATGATAAACTCTTTTCCGAGACATAGGACTAGTTATCAAGTCTATTTTTTAGGTTCCATATGTCCAACCAGCGGTTCTTGACTGCACCGGCTGATGCACAAAAGTGCTACTACGAAGATCAGACACAGACCCGGCAGAAGGCAGGGTTTCGTTAAGAGGTCTGTACAGTCACAAGATGAGGTGGACTTTCCGGATAAGCGATTGTTCCAATATCAACTAACCCCTAAGTGCTTTTCGGCAAATAATCATTTGTGGATCCGGCCTCGCATAATGACAACTGTCAGTAAGGAACTTATCAAAGGCATAGCCGAAAGCGGTCTGCTATACCAATGCCATGGTTCAGTAAATGAGCAACTGCGCTGAAACAGACGATTAAAGTGCTCTTGTCATCACGCGGAATTACTTACGAAAAAATTAAATCCGGAGCCACGGTCTGAAAGTACAGAGTAGGACAACCCGAGGCCAATAAGGCATATATTGTCTTAATGTTCCGCTCAATCCTTTCACGATAAGCTGTTATAACTGAGATGTGATACATCTGAAGAATGAGATGAAAACTGAAGATATCAAGAGGGGAGAAGAGCTTAGATTCAACGAAGCTTGAAATCAGAACGCAAGTCAATGTAGTCCCTGGGAGAGCTTGGACCATCTGGTATGGAAGAGGGGAGTGTGTGCTTTGGAGCAGTATCCCCCAAGCCCGGTTCATCACTTGCTCAAAGGACGGACGTGATTAGCATGTGGTGGACGTATACTTCACGCTTGTTGTACTTGAATTGAAGTCTGAAAAATGCTGGCACATCGGATGGGGGACCGGGGTGGTTCCGCGCCCACCGCCTGCAATCGAAGCGGACGATCCCTCGCCCGACGATTGATGCCACGGAAGGGGGCACAGTATCAGGCTTCAAAAAAAGTCTGCAGTGCCAGAGCTACCAGTGCTGACGCAGGACGTTTGCTGGGACTCAGCGTGTCTGAAATGACCTGGCAGCTGCCGTTCGGGACCAGATGCTGGCGGCGAGGAAGATATGGGCGCAGTGATGGGTGTGTCACCGGACTGCACTTGGCTGCAGATGCGGCTGAAGTACCAAGCCGAGCACGGGCCGGTTGGATCGGGGGATTCGTGGACAGTGAGGCGTGTTGGAAGCAGCTGGCAGGCTGGCCAGCATCTGCAGCCGGGGCTTGGTGACGAAGCACGCACTCGGTTGCTCTCGGGGAAAATCGAGTAGGGGGAGCTGATCTTCAGGCGGACCGGTCGCGCTGCCACGTCGGCCCGGGGCGCAAAAGCAGGGCGCGGCTCGAATCCGCAGCCGGCGCCGGTTCGAACGAGCCCAAACACGAGGGGTGCAGCGGGGCGGGGTGGGTGGTTTGCCGGGGGCAGCGGAAGGGCAGGTGCTGGTGGGTATGCTTTCGCACATCTGGCAGGTCTAGCGCGCGTGCACTGCAGCATGCCGCCAAGCCTTCCCGGTCCTTAACTCTCTCCGCCGCGCAGACCTACCTTTCTGCTGCTCACCCAACCCGCTGCAAATCCAAACTCTTTCCTCTCCTCCCCACTCCTCCCTTACGCTCGACACCCACAACGCCACCACCCCACGTCGCGCCACCGCCAGAGCCCGGCCTGCTGCATGCTCCCACGCGTCGGGTGCTCGACTACGCGTTCCCAAAACGTCAATTTATCGACTTCGCCGACGTCGCCGCGATACACGCTCGCCCCACCGCGCTCCGCGCGCTCCGCCTGTCTTTGTCGTCGCCGGGGTCGCAACACCATCCCCCATTGGTCTCACGCATACTTTCTGCGTCCTGGACCGCTCCCATCTGCCACCGCCGAGCTCAAGTCCGCATTGCGGCCACTCGTAGGGCTGAGACGCGCTGCCGACTGCTTGAGAACCCGCTGTTCCTGCCGTGGGTGGCCGCCTTCAGCTTGCCGCCGACATGGTAGGCTTCTGTCCCCTCTATTTGCGCGCAGCGAGACACTTAATTGGCCCAGGTCTTCTACAAAAGGGCCCCGGTGCCCTCGGTGCCGGACCCAAACATCCGCGACGAAAATACCACGGTGCGTATACGGGCGGGACACGGCTGCACAGAGAGGGAAACTGACTCTACGCGCAGGTCTGGATGATCAAGGCTACAGGCGAGATATTCACCGAGTATGACAAGTACACGAACAGGTAGGCCGCCCGCACTTTTTTTCCTTCGGCGTGACGTAGGCGGACCATGCTAACACACGTCAGGTTGGACTTTTATCGCAAGGTGAGCTTCGCAGAGCTCTCGTACCATCGCCGCGACCGCCACTGACCCCGCGCAGAAGCAATTCACGAACCAAATTACTGGCCAAGGCAACCTTTCCTTCTTTGACGCGTTAGAGGCAGAGGTGGGCATACCTAGTGCTTTCGGCTTGTCGCGCAAGCTGACCAGACACAGGACGAAGATGCTCGTGAAATCAGGAGTATATTTCCCGGACCTTTGCGGTTTCAAGTATGCCGGAAGGTTCACCATTCGACAATTCCCCGCCTCGAGGAGCTGGTGACTCGCGTCCACGCCGATTTGAAGGACGACTACTATCCCGGTGAGCATGTCATTGCTCAGATCGACGAGAGTGCGGACAAGCGCCAGCCCGGTGTCATTCGCGATAAGATCACGTTTTCGCCGTCCGTAGACATAAGGAGCCACCCGACACTGCACCAGCCGCCACTGTCCCGTTACTTTGTCACCGTGCAGCACGAGGATGGCCAGTCCAATGATATGCTTCTGGATAGCAAACGGCTGTCAAGGGATCGCAGAACGTACTCGAGGTCAATCTTGCGAAGCTTTATCAGAAACATCGCCCACAGCGAGAACTACAAGGGTGCGCCGTGGCAAGTGAAACCGGAGCTTGTCCAGCAGTTTAAGCTACCCGAAAAGGTCCCATACGCTTTGACCGCACAAGGAATTGCAGAAGCCAAGAGAAACGTCATGAAGAACGAAAACACAACTTTCTTCAATTACTACCGGGGCCCAGGTAATGAACTCCAGCGCCAGCCTCCACAGACCGTCGCTTTTCAACAAACCATGTTCCCTCCACCCCCACCCGCCACTGGCGTGTTCAGACCAGGACCCGGCGTTCCAGCTCCACCTCCGTTCCAGCAACCTCTAGGCCCCAACGGTACTCCACCCATCCCGATGAATGGTCAATACGGCCCACCTCAGCATCAAATCACCATTCCCTCCCGGCCGCCACCCGCTCACGCCCCGCCGCGGCCGGCTCCCATCAAGTACCCCATAGAGGATCTTCTCATCCAGCCTAAACGTAACGGACTCCAGCGACCGGCGCTCAAATTCTTGTCCGATGATGTCCCTGAAGGCGCCGAGCCTCCAGCGGAGCCGCTCGGCATTGAGATGAAGTCTGTAGGAGATCTCTTGTTCGTTTGGCAGACTCTCAACGTTCATGCCGAAGTCTTTATTCTGGACTCATTCACCGTGGATGACTTCATTGAAGCGCTTGGTTACCACGGAGATGCTACGGGCTGTGAGCTTCTTGTTGAGATGCACTGTGCTGTCTTGAAACAGCTGGTGGATGAAAAGGGCCACATCAAGGTCCTTTCGGATTTGGCTTCCGAGTTCTCCCAGGACATTGAACCGGAGGAGGAGGAGGAGGAGGAGGAGGCCGAAGAAGATACCAAGTCACCAACGCCAGCCCGCTCGGAGACTCCACCTGCCAGGCGTACCCGCGCAAGCTTGAGCAAGTTGCAAGCTCAAGAACTGGCTGAGCCGGAGCCGGAGAAAGAGGCTGCGCCCGAGAAGACTAACCGTGCGTCAGAATTGCTTTCCCAATTTGACTGGATCGATCACCTGGCGCGACGCAGCTTCATGGATGGAGGTTGGCAGTCGATTTTGGTTGGTGCGCTGCGCCAGGCATCCCTCAATCCTCGTCGCAAGGAGGTTTGCGAGAAGATCCTTGCTCACCTTGTGCCCTCGGACTTGGATCCTGACCCCGAAACCGTCGCCCTTCAGTACAACACACTGGACATCAACTTCCGCATTGCCATTCTGGGCATCATAACACAGTACGCCACCTTCACGGACGCTGTTCGCACCTACATGCAGACCTGCAATGTCAACATGACCGCAATCCGAAACCAGAAGATGGAACAGCAGAAGAAGCGGAAGGAGTACCAGGCAGATCTGGCCCAACTGGAGCAGAAGAGAAAGATGGATTATCCAGCAACTTTGTCTGTCTCGCCCCCTGCTGAAACCAATGGCGATGTCAGCATGTCTGGTGTCACAGAACCCGACACCCATGCTGAGCATGAAGGCGGGGAAGACGAGGAGGGCGCCCGCCGCCTCCGCCGCGCCAACAGCCGCAAGCGGAAACACGAAGATGAGACTACCCGGAAGGAGAGGGAGCGTAAGGAGAAGGAAGAGGCCGAGAGAGCCAAGCAGAGGAACGCCTATCGCGAGCTGCTGAAGAAAATCGACAAGACGAATGATGCTATCAGGACCTGCGAGGCGGAAATCAAGAAATTCGACGAGGAACTCCGAGAGAACCAGTGCCAGCAATTACGGTGTCTTGGCAAGGATCGATTCTGCAATACCTATTGGTGGCTCGAGCGATGGGGAATGCCACTCGGTGGCCTTCCTACCAGTTCCACTGCTGAATATGGCTACGTCAACGGTCGCCTTTGGATCCAGGGACCGGATCCTCTTGACAAGCCTCTTCTGGAACACGAAAACTCCGAAGATGAGAGGGAGTACAAGGCACTCACTGGCATGTCTAAGAAGGAACGCCGCGATGTGGAGGAAGGCCCCGTGCACTTGACCGACTCGATGCAATGGGGTTACATCGACAACCCTGAAGACGTACAGAAGATCCACGAATGGCTGGATGACCGTGGCCACCGTGAGTTGAAGCTTAAGAAAGAGCTCGGCATGTGGCAGGACTCGATCATTGAGTACATGGTCAACTGGAAGAATCACCTCAGCGAGGTCCAGGCCCAGAAGACGGCCGGTGAGGACACGACAGGTATCCAGACCAGGAAGAAGACTTACACGGAGAATGACTCATCCAAGTACTGGTGTCTCAAGTGGGAGAATTCCTACGCCCTGGATCACTTGGAGCATCTTCACTCGCAGCAACCGCCGCCGAAGACGAAGGCAAAGAACTCCCGCGCGAAGAAGGGTGCCCGTTGATTTCGGTTCCAATCGCGATACTGCAGCTTCCACACGAGTAATGTTCTGATCAAGCTTACGCTGTCCTGAACGACAAAATGCCTGGACACATTGCAAAAGTTACAACGGCTATGGCGCACTCTGCATGTTGTCTTGCGGCTTCTCCTAGTGCGCAGACTGGGCTCATGTGTACGAATGACTGATGAGCGGGATGCGACACTACTCGGAGCACCTCGGGTCCTGTTTTATTATTTTGATCTAGCTTCTCTAGAAGCTCGGTTTCGCTTGAAAGTGGCATCCCCTGGCTGCAACTGTTTTCACTGCTTCCTGCGATGCGTCTATACCCTGGCCGATGCCATGATTAGGTCCGGAGGTGACGGCGCTTCATCCACCTTCCCCCCCAGGGATTGATCGAGCGGTTATATGAGCGCAGCTTTCTATTCATCTTGTCCTTTCTTTTGCTATTATTATTACTTTGTTTTCTCATGGCGGCATCTCACAGGCGTTGCAGTGCGGACTGAATGTGGGTGGGCTTCTCAGAGATGTCTCATGCATAGTATGGGAGGCTGAAGGCTGGTGTTAGCTATTTGGCGATGGTGCTCTCGGCGCTCTGGTGCACATCGTGGCGGGGTCACTGATGAAAAGATTTCATATATGTTCTGTATTCTCCCTCTTCATTTCCCTTCACCTTTCCAGAGCCGGCAGGATATCCTAGGTGCTTCTTCAGGAGGAATGGGCTTCGGTATGGTTCCGACGCACAAGGCTGCTGATCAGGCTCCTTTCAGCGGCTGCATGTACATTAGATCCCGCGCTCGAGCCGACGAGCCGAGCGCGTTTGCATTCAATGAAAGACGGAGTGGAAATGAGGCGAGGCGTTTGCAGCCCGTGACGTCGCGTGTCGAGTTGCATGGAACGAGGCTAATGTTAGGGCTGGCCTTGCGACCGGAGCGCATCCCCCACACGCCGACCTCAACTCATCGCAGCCTTGGAGCCTCCGCCTCGATGCGCCCAGAGCAACTCTTGCTATCTCACTATCCCCATATTCATAGCGCTTCCTCGAGCCATCAGCATGGTGGCCAACGGTGCGCGTAAGGGTAAGTTGCGCCGCTCGACCCCGGTCGCGTGTCCGACCGTCACCTCCGTGAAAGCTGAGGCCTGACTTTCGATCCGCCAGGCACCAGGCAGGGCCTGGTCGACGCCCGCGCCTACGATGGCATATTCAGCGACAAGGAGAAGAAGCCCGCGACCTTCAAGCTCAGAAGGTCCAATGTCAAACAGACGCAGCCAGGCAACTGGAAGGAAAGCGAGATAACCGGTACGTCGCAACCAAGCACCCTCGGCTGCGCCGCAACCAAAGCTAACCCCAGCCTTGCTTTCGCAGACTCGACCGGAAAGAAGATCGAACCTCCGTCCGCACCTTCGTCCCCGCTCGTCAACCAGCTCGATGAGAAGACGACCGCCGCGTTCCCGACGAACCGCCCCTTGGACGACCAGCTCGATACCGTGCAATGCCGCCACTGTCGCCGGCCCGTCCTGCGCACCGCCGCGAAAGACCACATCAAGGAGTGCTTGGACAAGAAACAGGCGAAGCTGAAGAAGAAGAAGGAGGCCAAAGAAGCGAAAGAGGCGGCGATCCGGCGCGAGAAGGGCATCGAAGACGACGACGACGGACCGCCGAAGAACGCGCGCAAGAGTTCCAAAGCGGCGCTCGACGGCGAAGGAGCCAAGAAGAGCAAAAAGCGCAAGGCGGACGGCGACGCGGAGAAGGCGCCGGCCAAGAAGAAGAAAAAGGACGAGCCCAAGGCGAAGGTGCCGAAGCCCAAGGGGCCCGTCGACGTGGAGAAGCAGTGCGGCGTGCTGCTGCCGAACGGCTCCATGTGCGCCCGCAGCTTGACGTGCAAGTCGCACTCGATGGGCGCGAAGCGCGCGGTGCCGGGCCGCAGCCTGCCGTACGACATGCTGCTGGCGCAGTACCAGAAGAAGAACCAGGCCAAGCAGCAGCGCGCCGCCATCGACGCCAACGCGCCGCTCGCCGACGACTTCGACAACCACGGGCCCATCGACTCGGACGAGGAAAAGGACGCCATCATGGCCGCCGTCGCGCGCTCGCGCCCCGCCCCGCTCGTCGCCCGCCCCCTCGTCTCCATGCAGAGCAAGTACCGCAACATCCGCATCAAGGAGATGCTGCAGAGCGCCATGGGCGGCACCCGCGGCGCCGGCCTCTTCTCCACCGGCCTGCCGCCCGCCCATGCCCATGCCCACGCCGCCGGCCCGCACCACCACCACCCCCCGCCGCCGCACTCGGCCGCCACCATCGACGGCATGGCCACCAGCATGGGCGCGCCGCGCCCCCCCGCGACAAACTTCCTCAGCGGCATCTTCGGCCCTCCCGACCAGAGCTCCATGTTCGCCGGCTTCATGGGCGGCGGCGCGGCGGGCGGCCCCGGCGACGGCACGACGATGGGCATCGACGGCGGCGGCGGCGCCGGTGGTGCTGCTGCCGGGCTGGCGGCCAGGCGGCAGGCGAGCATCGGCGGGCATGGCCCGAGACAGATCCTGCCGGGGCAGCTTCCGGGCCCGCCGAGCAGGAAACAGAGCGTCAGCGGCGTGGGTGCCTAGGAGCTGATGAGCTAATGAGCCGCCGCTGCTGCTGCTGCGAGCAATCGATGTTTGATTTCGATTTGCTTCTTCTTCTTTTTTTTTTTGCATTTGCCTCCTGTTTCGGGAGCGTGGGTTAGGGAGAACAAAGGCGGGACTTTTTGCTTTTGCTTTTGGCTGATTGGTCGGATGGAGACCTACGGACGGATGGATGATGGGATGGATGGATGGGCGGTTATACCTCTGGAGTTCATGGCTGTGTTCGTTCTTTTCTATCTCGATCACGGGAGTTCACTGGATGCTCGTATAGTGGCTTGTCTTGGATGTTACTCTTTCTTTTTATTTTATTTTTTTCTCGCTCTGCGACTAAGGAAACAGTCGTTTACTGCGGTATTGTTGTGAGGTGGGTATTGTGCGGATTTTTGCTGAGCTTGAGGCAAGTTTGAGCGTGGAAGAGTGGGCAACAGCTTGTGGCCAGGCATGCATGAGATACCCGGAATGATGAATGCTTGATCGAAGGACCTGGATATTGCTGCCCTACGCCAAGTGTAGCGTTCTTTGTGAGGTCATTGATGTGTGGTAGGTATTATTTAATATGTGATATAGCTCTGTCGTCTGTTGTTTATGACCAGGGCATCCGTGCCGTTCAACTGCAGCGCTCCAAGGAGGGATGCTCTGGCGGTTATGACTTCCGGAGGACTTGTCTTTCTTTTTCCGGACGTTCGTTTTGACCAATTGCGCAGCTTTTGTCTACGGCGGGCGAAACAACCTTCTCGCGCAAATCGCGTCCTACCTCTCCATCGCCACGCGCCTCGTACCTGTCTTTGCTTTACCACGGACAACGAAAGAAAGTCAACAACATGCGGCGACGCACGAACAAAAGACGACGACTGCTCCTCCTTGCATCGCCTCAGCAGTGACGACAAACATCACCGAGCTTTCACGAGTCCTCCCTTCTGCTGTTTTGCCCCGGTTGTGCTTTGCTGCCTGCGGGCGTGTTGGGCGAGACGGTCGGCAACTACAGAGGGGTGGGGGCGCTGACTGACAGCAAGAACAGAGATCGGAGCGGGGAGATGCAAGGAGGGTAGAGCGTCGTTTTTGAAGTTTCGCCCGTCCCGTTTTTGTTTCCTTCTTTCGTCTTGTTCCCGTTACCTCCTCCACCTCGTCTTTTATTCTTGTCCTATCACCGTCAGCCCTCGGTCCTCTACTGTTCGCTTTTCTCTTTTCTGCTCTACCGCTTTCTTTTCGCTCCTTCCTCTCGCTCGTCTTTATCTTTTTCTTTCCTTTCACCCACTCTCGACTCCTGCTTATCCCACCGCCGCACCTCCCTAGTCCCTCCTTTCCCCTCCTTCGCAAACCGCTGCCGCCGCCGCCGCCGCCGCCGCCGCCGCCGCCGCTCTAACCCCCCTCCTTACCTAACCTCCTCAATCGACACCACTCAGCCCCAGCTCCTCCCCACCCACACCCCGCACACATTCCTTCCTTCCCTCCCTTCCTTCCTCCTCCTCCCCCCTCCCCCCTCCCCCTACCCTTTCCATTCCCCCTCCCCACCCCCACCCACCCCGCAGCCACCCCTCATACACCCGCGCCCATGACGACAAAAAAACACGCCCACAAGCTCTGGAAGCCGGCAACAAAAACCGGCTAGTGACAGCGCTGTACGCATTTGTAGTTTTCAATCGGAGAAGGCGCGTTGAGGAAGGGCTGCGAGGTGGTCGGTGGAGCCTGGCGTCGTCGTCGTCGTCACTGGCGTGTTGTGCTGTGGTGGGGTTGGATTTTGGGTTTTTGGAGGAGGAGAAGGAGGGGGAGGGGTTGTGGGTGGGTGTGTGTGTGGGTGGACGGCTGGGCTGGGCTGACCTGGGTGGGTGGGTGGGAGGCAAAGGGGTGTGGCGGTGGTTCGGTTCGGTTCGGTTCGGTTTGTTGGTGATGGAGGGTGAGGAGTGGATGAGGACGGGAGTGCCGGTGGATAGGCGCGGAAGGAGGAGGAGGGTGGTAGGGAAGATGAAGAAGAAGAAGGGAGAGGGAGGGGGGAGGGAGAGGATTTGTGTGTGAGTTGGAGGTGAGGAGTGGCGGCGGCGGCTGTGGTTGGTTGAGCGGTGGAGGGCGTGAGGAGGAGGCAAGGTGGATGGCTTGACATGCCCGATGATGAAAACAAGCCAAAGTCGCAGACAACCCGGGCCGGTCTGTCTCATCCTTTCTTTCGGAGAGGTGGGAGGGCTTGTCGTCGTCAGGTTCGTCGATGTGAACCAGAGAGCTAATTTGAGGGCACAAACTCGATACATTCTGTTGCTTCCAGGAGTAAAACAGTCGATAGGGTTATCATGAATATAATGAAGCAAACTTTTTCCTAGCAACGATCTAACCCAATTCGAGCAAATGCCCAATGTCCTGCTTTTATTCCGGTAGATCTAACAGCTTGGAAAGCGTTCTACATATCTACGCGATAGCGATTCATCATCGTCGGTTCCGGGCAAAAAAAAAAAAAACGAAAGATGCTCAAGTATCCTTCACCCAGCTGTCATCGTCCATCTTCCCTTCATTCTTCCCGCCCTCCATCGCCCACGTCTCAACCAGGCCAGCCTTGGGATCCTCATCCGGCAAGCCCATGCTCCTACGCACCTTCAGCACCTCCTCCCGCATGCGCATCGTGCACTCCTTCCTCAGCTCCACCGCCTCGCTGCCGTACTTCAGCCCCTCGCTCAGCACGCCCAACCCCACCTCCCCCAGCGCCCCCTTGCCCTCCTCCTCCCCGGCGGCGGCGGCGGCCCGTCGTTGTTCGCCATCGCGCTCCTTCAGCCGCCTCCAGCGCGCGCGCAGGTCCCCAAAGACGCTGTCGACGTCGACGCGCTCGCCAAAGGTGACGCTGACCGTCTTGCCCGGGCGCGGCAGGAAGCGCGGGAAGGTGCGGCCCTCGTGCATGACCTGCTGCGGCCCTTCGACCCACATGGGCACCACGTCCGGGCAGTGCGGCTCGCTCTCGAGGATGAGCCGCGCGACGCCCCACTTGAAGTAGCGCATCGTGCGGTCCTCCTTCTGGTGCACCTTGCCCTCCGGGAAGATGTGCACCCAGCCGTGCCGCCGCGAGGCGTAGGCCGCCGGCGCGGGGAACGCGTCGTCGCCCGTTGTGGTGTAGGTCAGGGCGGCCGAGGTGAAGGGGTCGGGGATGTCTGGGGCGGCGGCGGTGGAGTCATGGCGCTGGATGGTCGGTGGTGGCGGCGCGGAGAAGGGGGCGCGGGACAGGAGGCGGATGGCTTGCGTTATGGTGGGTTGGAAGAGCCCGCCGTGGGGAGAGTGCGCGAGGCGGTGGCACGGAAGGGTTTGGCCAAGGGAGAAGAAGAGGGAGAGCGCCCTGGCGTGGGTGCGGCGTTAGCGGTGCCCTGCGTGTTCCTTGGGGTGGCTGGGTGGTGCGTACTTGTTTGGGAATGCGAGATCATGGCTGGCGAGGCTCCAGCGCAGGTTGTCTGGATTGAACATGTAGCGGAGCGGTAGCGAGCCCCATATCAGCGGGTCATCCAATCTGAATGGCGGAACAGATGCGCCAGTTAGCTGGAAAGTCCAGGGGCGGTATGCAATGAACCGCGAAAAGCGTCAGGGCGTACATCATACACAGATACGTGGTTGGAAACTGGAGATGTGGGAGAGCTTCCCGTCAGCGGGTTGTTTTGTCTGCAATGGACTACCGTGTCGCGGTGCGCGAAACTCACCTGTGACTAAACCCCTTTGGCGTCCCTGGACGTCCTTGCGCTCGTCGAGCAGCTGGAGGAACTTGTCCATGCCATTGACCTCGAGGTTGCTGAGGCCAGCCAGGAATCCACGGCTCAACAGGCCCACGACGCCCATAACAGCCACGGAACCGCATCGCCATGGCAGGCTTGGAGCCGCAGGTTGCTCCTCAGGCGCCATCGCGGTTTACACCCGGCGCATCAAAACATAGACCAGCGGAAGGAGAGGAAGAAGAGGAAAAGAATGTGGGCTGAGGGGCGGAGTTTGTCGCAGAGTTGTTGAGCCCTAGGATTTTCAAAAGCGAACATGGATTGACATGGTCCGAACGGGTCAGGGCAACGCGCCTGTGGGGAGCTTGGACTCGCACACGCGCGCCGGCTTCCTCTCCGCCTTCTCCGTCAACCGAAGCCCGCTCCGCCGCCCCAGGAAGGAAGTCCTGGCCGTCGCTCGTCGTCATCGCCGGTTCCTGACACGCGCGGGACGCTTCTACTAGCCCGCCGCCCGCCGCCTGCCGAAACGCCAACCGCTCTTTTCCAGCTGTCGCAGCCGGAGCACCACCGCGCTGGAGCTGCGTCGACCTGCACAACATGTCGCACAGTACGGGAGCAATGCCGTCTTCGCCTTGGAACCAAACGCTGACTTGCAAACAGGCAAGCGCAACACCTCTCTCGCCTTTTTCACCTCCTATGAGCGCGAGCAGCTCAAGTCGACCTGGGGCACCGCGCGCACACGTCTGTCGCGCGATTCATTCCTACCCTTCTCGTCTTGCAAGCTATGCCTGCTTCCCTCCCGCGATCCCGTTGCCTGTGCGCATGGCGACATCTTCTGCCGCGAATGCGCCATGAACAACCTGCTGGCCCAGCGCAAAGAGATAAAAAGGTTGGAGAAGGAGGCCGAGCGGAGAGCAGGGGATGAGGCCGAAGATAGAGTGAGACAAGAAGCGGAAGAGGAGAAAAGAGCTATTGAGGACTTCGAGAGAGTCCAAATGGGTCTTGAGGCGAAGGGCATGGGCGGCACGATCGTGGGAAGGGAAGCAGGAAAAGTCATGGTCGAGAGGGTGGTCGAAGGTGCGGATGGGAACAAGGGCGTGAAGAGAAAGTTCGAGTTCGACGAGGAAGAAGTCATGAGGGTTGCACGGGAAGAGCGAAGCAAAGTACGGAAGGCGCTGAGTGAAGAGAAGGTCCGTCTTTCCCTGCTTTTCTTCCTATTCTCTCGCCCTGTCGGAAGCACAGGGCTGTTCTGACTGACAATGTGACAACAGCGCGAAGCTATTTCCAAGTCGACATTACCCTCCTTCTGGGTTCCTTCACAGACACCTGACACCAACACCGCCGACAACGGATCTTTGCATGCCATAACAAAGCAGGCGAAGCTGAACCCGATATGCCCAGGCTCCTCTGATGAAGAACCTCATGAGTACTCACTGAAGACCCTGACGACCTTGGATTTCACCGAGGAAAAGGACGTGAAGGGCGGTGATCCGGTGCGCAGTTGTCCGGCTTGTCGCAAGGCTCTCACCAACGCCACCAAGGCAATGATGGGAATTCCTTGCGGCCATGTGTTGTGCAAGCCCTGTACTTCCAAGTTTATGACGCCCCATAACGAGGCGGATGCGCACGATCCCACCGCGGAATTTGGCGTCATCAGATGCTATGTATGCGAGATTCCGTTGACACCGGAAAAGAAGTCGAAGAAGGATAAGGCAGGCAAGAAGAAGGAGAAAGACAAGCCCAAACCTGGGCTAGTAGAGATCAAGAGCGAGGGCACGGGCTTCGCAGGCGGCGGCAAGAACATGGTGCAGAAGCAGGGCGTGGCGTTTCAGTGCTAGCGCGTTCGGGCAGTCGAGTGCCCCAGTACCGGGCTTCATTAACCCTGAGGCTCTTGGATGACGTAGTTGGCCCTGTACAAATGGCATGGAGCAGCCCAAGCACATCTACCTTCCATGTCAGGCATGTCGATCCTCTAGCCAGATCTGTATTCGAGCGTCGACTTGCAAGTCGCTTGAGTCACACTCCGATGGCAACGGGTCTAGAGCCAGCTGAATCGGGATTGCTACATGAGAAAACTGCGAAATCGGTTGACGAAGCGCAGGGAAAGACGCATATGTATTCGATAAAGAAGACTGACAACGCGTCAAAACAAAGGCTTGACCTTCCCGACCATGTTGCAACACGAAGCGAGCCGTCATCGCCGAGTTAGCCTGGTGGCGACACAAGGCCTCAGTCCGTGAAGAGGTCGCGCGTGCAGCCTCAAGGCAGTTACACAGCTGCAGCTATGCCGAAATTATGATTCGGGCTGGACAGCACTGCAGGTCCAGAATGCGACGTGTGCTCTGGCAACGGCAAGCGCCGTGCGTGTGGCAGCCCGGGCAACATGCAGCGGAAAATATGATGCGTTTGACTGTGCAGAGGGAAGGCGGCGGAGAGCGGAAAGCAAGCGGCGGAGGTGCCGGCGGCCCTCAGCGGCATGCGGCGGCAGCGCTGGGCAGGGAAACCGCAATGGCGATAGCGCCAGGCAGCCGTAAGGCGGCGGCAACGCGCGCGGCGGGCATGCTGGTGGTGTCCAGGGTCCGTGGTGTCGTCATGCAGCGCAGGCCTCGACCGGACCCGGCCACGCCGGAGGTCGCGCGCGCTCGCATGAGGCTGGCCGGTCCCCGGGCGGCAGCGCTTGAGGAGGTTGATGTTGAGTTAGGCTTGCGGTCCTAAAGGCGTGCCCAAACGCGGCCACTAAGAAGGGTGGCTCAGGCTTGGCCGGTGGCAGGGGTGCTGCAAGGCGGCAGGCGCGGGCATAAAGGCCGGCCCTCGCTCGCAGCTGGGTGCTGCGCCAGAATCGCCTTGCCCATCTCTCGCGCGCAGCTTAAGTCCGCTTTCGTCCGGGTGCTGTATACACGCCCAGCGCTGCTGTTCTGTCGCATCGCCCGCTCCGCGCCAAGCTCGCAGCCGGCGCAGCTACACCGACGCCCTCCGTCCCGGTCTCTCGTCTCGGGCGGTCGGGGGCCCACTTTACTGGGTGTTGCGCCGAATCACCGCCTCCGCATACCCACGCAGTCGGCGTACACTAGCGCGCGCCCTCGCTCCGTCTATAAGTTTCGGTGTGTCTTCGCGTTTTAATATGGAGGGCCCGGAGGACTCATACGCCCCACGCTCGCCCGATCTCTCAGCCTACGACCACGGCCAAGCCGATCCCGAGCCACTGCACCCCCAACACCAAAAGTATCGCGGCTCCATTTCGCACGCGCCACCTCTGTCACCCTACGCGCCGCCCCCGAACCCGGCCGGCGCTTATAACCCGCCCACCGGCTACTTTACACCCCGCAACAGCATCTCCTACCCACCACCCCCCATGGCCGCCCAGATGAAGTTCGAAGGTGAGGACGGCCAGCAGTGGTCGCCGCTCTACTCCGTGCCCAGCACCCTCAAGACTGAGACCATGGAGCCAGGTGATCTCATGGATGCCAATGGCGGCATGATCAAGTCCGAGGCCATGGAGCAGGCCCCGGGCGTCGCCGAAGGCATTGAGGTCAAGACCAAATTCCCTGCCGCGCGCATCAAGCGCATCATGCAGGCCGACGAAGACGTTGGCAAAGTCGCCCAAGTCACGCCCCACGTTGTCGGTAAGTCTCAGCCCTACTTGCGACTAGCCTTGGTAGCAGCCCCGCCCGCTGACATCGCATGCAGCTAAGGCCCTCGAGCTCTTCATGATCTCGCTCGTCACCAAGGCCGCCACCGAAGCCAAGAACCGCTCGTCGAAGCGCGTCTCGGCCGCCCATCTCAAGTCGGCCGTGCTGCAGGACGAGCACTTCGACTTCCTCAACGAGATTGTCAACAAGGTCTCGGATGCGCCCGCCCCCGTCGACCGCGGCGGTTCGCCCGAGGAGGGCGAGGGCAAGAAGCGCAGGGCGGGCCGCAAGAAGCGCAAGGACAGCAACGACTTTTAACGACGACGACACGACCGCTCCTCCTCCTCCCCTCTCCCCACAAACGATAGAACTTTTCCTTCTTCTTTTAGCGACTAAGGGTTATTGCTGGCTACACGGGCATGGCATGGTGGGACAAGGCATCGCTTCAGGTCATACACATACCTGTCGCTTTTGCATTCGGCGCAGCAGGAGTATTTGGGGGAAAATTCTGGGCGGACAAAGTTTCTGGATGCACGGGATACCGGCGCAATCGCTTTCGATTGTGTGCTGTAACGTTTATTTGCATGGCGATGGAAATGCTTCGGCCCTTAGCACACAGGCCAGTGGAATGACAGTCGAACACCAGTTTCAGCTGGATGCCAAATCCAGCAACTCGACCAGCCAACAAGGTGTCGGGGATTGCAGCGAGCTGCGTGACTAAGCGGGCCGAGGTGTTCCAGGATCGACGCTGAAGCATGACCACCTCTCACAACGCCCGCTGTGACTGACCCTGCAGCTGCGCGTCTCGCACCCTCCTACGCGTCGCCGGCGCACCTGATCAACACCGTAGCTTCCGGGCTGCGTTGCGCGTGACAGGCAGCCTTCATCTCCATATCCCTCTCGTCGCCAATTCTTCGTCTGATCTCGCCGCTTTCACCTTTTTCGCCATGTCCAAGGCTACTTTCGCCATCATCGCCGCTGCAGGCGCAGCCACCGGAGCTGCAGCGACCGCAGCCTTTTACTCGAGCAAGAAAGAGGTCCCGGTGGTCCCTGTCAGTGCTTCATCCAGCGGCGCCGCACCACCGGCACCTGTCCCGGGCTATCCTACCGCAAAGTCTCTCGCTACCGCACCCGTCGATCCCAACGGTCTTTTCCAATATGGCTTCCCCGGGCCCGTCAACGATCTCCGCGCCGCGAAGTCGCTCACGTCCTCGTTCAACCGGCAGACGCGCAACCCGGACTGGGTCGCCGAACACATCACTCCCGAGTCGCTGGCGACGCACAACGGCGACCGCAAGCACAGCTCCTTCGTCGAGGACGCGGCCATCCCGGAGAAGTTCCGCGCGAAGCTGAAGGACTACTTCCGCAGCGGCTACGACCGCGGACACCAGGTGCCGGCGGCGGACGCCAAGTGGAGCCAGGAGGCCATGGACGCGACCTTCGCGCTCAGCAACATGTGCCCCCAGGTCGGCGACGGCTTCAACCGCGACTACTGGGCGCACCTCGAGGACTTTTGCCGGCGCCTGACGCACCGCTACCCCAGCGTCCGCATCGTCACCGGGCCCCTGTACCTGCCGCGCCGCGAGCCCGACGGCAAGTGGCGCGTCAGCTACGAGGTCATCGGCAGCCCGCCCAACGTCGCCGTGCCGACGCACTTTTACAAGGTCATCTTCGCCGAGGACGGCAAGGCCGGCGGCAACGTCGCGCTGGGCGCGTTCGTGCTGCCCAACGCGCAGATTTCGAACGACAAGCCGCTGGCGGACTTTGAGGTCCCGCTCGAGGTGGTCGAGAGGGCGAGCGGCTTGGAATTCGCCAACAACCTGCCGGCCTCGCGGAGGAAGAAGCTGTGCGCCGAGTTTGCTTGTTCGCTCGTCATCAAGGAGTACCAGCAGAGGCAGAAGACGTTTGCCGCCAAATAAGGCAGACCGACCCTGCCGCCGTCTTCGAGTCAACGGCGAGTAGGGTAGGAAAATCAATACCAGCATGGCAAGGAGTTTGTGTGACAAAGTGTATCTTGACCGAGTTTATTTTGAAATCTTTCTTGGTCTGAACTTGAGAGAGCTGAGTTTGTTGTTGCTTCCTGGTGCAATAATTCCAGCGCTCCGTGAAGGCGCTATGATTCCGTCCGGCGCGTGCCAGCGCCATCTATCCGATGGTTGAGATGAACTCTTCCCCTTTCTCCTTCCCGTGCTGTGCCATAATGTACAATTGCTTCGTTGTAACGAGCCTTTTCTTTCCCGCCATCACCACTACGCCTGTCGGCGAATGCATCCGATGACGTCTAATTCAAGATCGACAAGCATTTCACACCTCGTTCGTTGTCTTGTCTAGAATGCATCCCCATATCCTCATCCACAGCGCTCTCGGCCTTTGTGTGTCCCTTTCCACCAGTATTCTTTCGCTTCTGGCTCTCTCCGCTTTATAGGCTCACGCCGCCGGCCGAGTTCTGCTGCAGCTTGGCGACGTATTGCCGGCTGACGACGTTCCAGGCGGCCATGTACTTCTCCATGCACTGGGTGAAGCAGGTCTCCTCGCCCTTGGACAGCGAGGTGCCGGGCTTGGGCACGCAGCGCTCGAAGCAGTGCTCGTTCAGTTTCTGGTCACACATTTTTCATCAGTTCAATGCGACGAGCAATGGGTAATGATTTTTTTTCTCGGGCCGCGTGGAAGCGATTTGGGAGAAGTGTGCTGCGAAATAATGGGCGGGGTTGGGCGACAACGGCGATGTGTTGGATTGCGGGATGATTCGTACCTCGACCAGCTGGCGGGCGTTTGCGACGGCGGCTTCTTGACGGATCTGCTGCATGACAGCGACCTTGGGGTCGGAGGAGGTGATGTTGAGGGAGTCCATGGCGGGCGCGTGGGCAGGTTGCGAGCGGGTTGGGTCGTGAGGGAGATGGGCGGGATGTTTGGTGTTTGGGACTTGAGTTGAGAGGCAGAAGTTTCGTTACAGCTGCAGCTTCGATGATGCTGCCAAACGGGCGCTTGGCGGCGGCGGCGGCGGCGCTGAGAGGAGAGCGGAGAACGGAAAGCGGAAAGGCAGGCGGAGGGCGGGCGCGAGTCATGCGAGCCGAGCTTCCCGCCCCGCTGCCAGATGGCTTTAGGCACTGGACGAGAAGAGGCCAGACATCACGCATGAGCAACCAAGCTCCACCGCCCACGCCCTCTCTCTTTACCCTTCCCACACGGCCGCCCCGAAACATTATCCACAGCGCCGCAGCGAATTAAGGGCTTCTTCGCTGTGCGCAGAGCCAAACCACGATCATTATCTCCTTCGTCCGTTTCCCCCGCCGAGCTTCTGTTCCTGCGTAGCTCCGTCCATATATTCCGGCCGCTCCTTGTTCCCTAAGTTTCCCGCCGATTGAGCGACCGCCTCTCCAATGCTTCTCCCGTGGACCTGCCTGGCGCTGCTCGCCAGCAGCCTGGGCCTTGCCGCCGCCCAGGATGCGCCCGAGGTCAAGAGCATCCCGGTACGTCTTCTGTCTCGGCACAATTGGGGGAGATGGTGTAACTGACAGCTCGACAGCTCCGCACCCACAGCCTGCAACCGGTACGTTAGCCACACGCCCACACCACGCAGCAATGCCCAACGCTCGCGAAGCCCGACGCCAGAAAAAAAAAACCTAACGCGCCGGCCGTACGATTGAAGCTTTTTTGCTAACGCCATTGAACCTGTTTGTTCGGAAAATGTAACAGCCCTACCTGGATTCGGACATGCAGAGCCGCTGGTTCGACTTTGGCGGCGACACGGTCGTGCGGACGGACAAGTACATCCGGCTGACGGCCGACAAGGGCTCGCGCTCGGGCTGGCTGTTCTCGCGCGTGCCGCTGACGGCGACCAACTGGGAGGTCGAGGTCGAGTTCAAGATCCACGGCTCGGGCAACCTGTACGGCGACGGCATGGCCCTGTGGCTCACCAAGCAGCGCGCCCAGCAGGGCCCCGTCTTCGGCAGCGTCGACAAGTTCGAGGGCCTGGGCATCTTCTTCGACACGTACAAGAACAACAGGCCCGGCGTCGTCTTCCCCTACGTCATGGCCATGCTGGGCGACGGCCAGACGAGCTATGATAAGAACACGGATGGCAAGGCGCAGGAGTTGGCCGGTTGCTCTGTACGTCACACGTCCCATTCTTCCATTCCCCTCCTCCCGGGACGCGGGAATGTGCTTTTGAAACTAGGCATTGGGGTGGAGAGAGAGAGACTAACGAAACGAAAAAAAAAAAACAGGCCCGCGGCCTTCGCAACGCCGCCATCCCCACCAAGGCCAAGCTGACGTACTTTGCGGAGAAGTCGCTGAAGCTGGAGCTGCAGTACAAGTCGGAGAACGACTGGATCGAGTGCTTCACGGTGACGGACGTCAAGATCCCGTCCGTCGCGTACCTCGGCTTCAGCTCCGAGACGGGCGAGCTGGCCGACAACCACGACATCATCTCGCTGTCGACCAAGAACCTGTACCAGCCCAGCGCCGCCGGCGTCGACGGCCAGCCGCCAAAGGACCGCGGCCGCGCCCGCGCCCAGAAGCTGTCTGCCCAGCAGCGCAAGAAGCAGAAGGAGGGCGGCAGCTGGACCTGGTTCCTCTTCAAGTTCCTCCTCTTCGGCATGGTCCTGGCTGGCGCGTACGTCGGCTTCACTGCGTATAGGACGCAGAGGATGAGGTCGAGGTTTTAAGCGCGGCGTCGTCGGCGGTGCTAGAGAGAGGAGAGAGAGGAAGGTTGGCTCTTTTTTTGTTAGCGATGATGGATGGATGGTGGTGGTATCAAGGTTATTTGGGATCAGCGTCTCCTTGTTGGATTGGGAGAAGGTGAGCGGCAGTCCCGAACTCGGGAAGGAAAAAGGTGCGGAAAGCACTCACGATGGATTTCCGATTAGCACGAGGTATGAAAGGGGGGGAAGACCAAAGGATCGAACCGGAGTTCTGCTGTCTCTTTCTGCCTCGTCTATATCTCTCTCTCCCTCCCTCTCTTCGAACAAAACCCCTATCTAACGCGTCTTTTCCCTTTTCTTTCCCTCGATGTGATTGCTTATTAGCGTGCGCTATTTGCTTGTTGTTCTTTCGCCGGACGGCTTGCAAAAGGAATAGCAAACAAAAAGTCTTTCTGAATGCAACACCGCTGAATGATATATTGCTCATGAGCATATGCGCTCTTCTGTCCTCCCACAGAAAAAAAAAGAAAAAACATTGAATAGTTGACTTTCTCTTCATTCACTCCAACGTGTTTGTTCGCTTGGCATTGCAACAAGATCGAGGTAGTTGAAGTTCCTGCCCGGATTGGCCCCCTTGCTTATATAAGAGTACACCAGGTGATTTTCTTTCCCGATTGCCTTTTTATCAATGTTGTTTCTAATACATAGCGCACCTACTTCCATCCGTTGTCGATTCTGTTTTGATAAGGCATCCACGTACAGCGCCCGTTCCCTCTTCTGCTTACCTTTCGTTTGCCCCAAAAAAAATAAATGGAATGAGCATCCTCCTTTTCCTCGGGTCTCCCAGCAGATGGAGACTCAGCTGGGACGAAGAGGAAAAAAAATCAAAAAGCAACCAGAGAAAACAGATCGTACAGACTCGGAGACACAAATCAATGCTGGGAGCGATGGGTGGGAAAGCAGGAGAGGATGACAATCCTCTGATCTGCACTTCCGTTCCTTTGCTCCCTTCCTTCTTCCCTGCACACTCAGCGCTGGGGAAAAAGCACAGAACAAGAGACCTCTCCCGCCTGAATCACCTTATTGCTACCTACGTACTTACTTGCCTGCCTGCCTACCTGCCTACCTGCCTGCCTGCGTACCTACCGTGCTACTCACTCCCTCGTCGGTCAGCGTCGACAGCCCCCCAGCCACCAGACATACACACAGCCTGCCACGCAGTTAGCAAAGCACAAAGCCTCGACACACCGACGAAAAAAGAACTTGTAGTAGTAAAAGACTTTTGGAAGAAGAAATGAATGCTTTGAAAAATGAACTTCGTTTTCCCCTCCCTCCCTCCCTCCCTCCTTTCCGTTGAATTCGTCTTTTCTTTCCGGCGCGCAACCAATATCCATCCTCTTTCGACTTTATACCATCCGAGCTATATCACACAAAAAGGCTCTTTGCTCCCATCCTTGTCCGGCGGCTGGCTCTCCCTCTCTCTCTCTCTCCTTACCACAGCCACCACCATCAATTTCCATCATCGTCGTAATAAGCACGTAGTGTAGTAGCAAGCAAAACGAACTTCCATGTCCGGTAAAAGCAAGAGGAAGAAAAAGTGAAAATAAAAACCCCCTCCCCCTCCTGCCGGTCTCTTAGCGGAATCCAGACCGTGGGTGAGAGGTCAATAGTGAAGAGAGAAGAAGAAGAAAAAAAAAAGGACGCATAAATCCCGTCGATCCATCCATTCATCCATCCGTCCATTCCTCACTTTGCCGTATCTTCTCGCCCAGCAGCAGTCGTTGTAGTAGTAATAGTGAGCGCGAGAGTGCTAAAATAAAAGCGACATCCCTCATCATCCCTCCGTCCCCTCCCCCCCTCCCCCTCCCGCTTACGACCTCCCCGATCTCCTCGTCGATCTCTTCCCACCAGCAGCATCCCCCTTCGCTGCGGTGGAAGAAGCAGTGCCTGGCGTCTCGCCGTTCGGCTTGTCCTCCGCCGCCTTGGCGCCTCTCCTCGAGGCCCGGGGAGGAGGCGTGTCCACCGCCGCCTCATCCGCCTTCCTGTCCTTTTTCCCCTTCTTCGCCGATGTTGACGGTTTTACCGCGCTCCCGCCACCACCACCCTTTGGCGTTTCGGCAGCCGCAGATTTTCGACTTGCACCGCCACGTGCTTTTCTCGGTGTGGCTTTTGGTTGCGGTTCGGGCTGTTCTTCTTCTTCCTCTTCCTCCTCCTCCTCTTCTTCTTCGCCTTCGCCTTCTTCTTCACCTTCTTGCTCTTCTTCTTCCTGTTCACTCGCCGCCCCATTCCGCTCCCCCTCGCTCGTCCGATCCGCCATCTCCACATCCTCATTTCCCCCCTCCTCACCCTCCTCCTCGCTCGCCTCCTCTTCTTCCTCACTAACCTCCTCGTCGTCGTCCTCACTAACCTCCTCGTCATCCTCGGCCGCTCCCCCCTCCTCGTCATCGCTGTCCAACTCCGCGTAGCTGCGCTCGCCCACGACGCGGCCGCTGCGCCTCCGCTCGCTGGCCGGGATGTCGCCGCCTTTCCGAGGCTTCTTCGCCTTCTTCGGCCTCTTCATCTTCTTCGACGACGCCGCTTTGCGGATGGCGAGGCCGGACGACGACGCCATTGAGGAACGGGCGCGTTTCTTGTCGCGGGTGGAAGCGTCGCCTGAGGAGTCGGGTTTGCGCTGCGGTGGGATTTCTTGATTAGCGTTCGCGTTCATTTGATATTGGTGGTAGGATCCCCGAGTATTCCGTCCATCCATCCATCCAGCTAGAAAGGGAAGAAAGAAAGAAAGAAAGGAAGGAAGGAAGAAAAAAAAAGAAGAAGACAAAATTGCTTCTCACCTTCTTCGTCCTCATGCTCGCCTTCACCAGGTCGTCCAGCTCGTCCACCAGCTCCTCGGGCACGTACTGCCTCTCCGCAATCTCCTGCGCGACGTCGTGGCCGGGCAGGTTCGCAAACACGTCCGCCGGCATGCGCGCCTTCTTCGAAAACGCCTGGATGCTCCAGCCGTGCAGCGTCTGGAACCGCTGGATCACGCCCTGCGCGAGGTCGCTCAGCACGTAGAGGTTCTCGCTCTTTGCGGGGTCGATGGCGTCCTCGACCGACTTGACGCGCTGGGCGACGTGGTACACGAGCGAGACGTTGTCGGCGTTGGCCACCGTCTTGAGGAAGAACATGACGTACTGGACAAAGTCGCGCAGGTTGTCCGGGTCGGCGCTGTAGTCCGGGTGGTGGGCGAGCAGGCTGAGGAAGCGCGCGAACCCGTTCTCGAACACGGGCTCGCGCGTCTTGGAGAAGGCCGACTGCCGCGCCCGGATCCACGTCGTCGCGCCGTCCTTGAGCCGCGGCTCGGGCTCGAACGCCAGCAGGAACACCGGCGCGTAGAAGCGCCGCGGCAGCTTGTCCTGCCCCAGGTACTTCATGAGCTTCTTGACGAAGCCTTCGCGCACGTTCGGGTTGGGGTCTTGGGCGACGACGGCCAGCTCGTTGAAGGCCTGGCCCGAGAGCAGCGCGTCGAAGCGGCGTTCGTGGCAGAGCTTGAGGAGGAGTTGCGCGGCGAGGAGACGTAATCTCGACTTCTGAGCTGCAGGGCTCTCAACCTTCTTTGACAGCTCGCCGTCGTTGGTGACCAAGGTCCTGAGGAGCTGGAAAACTGGAGCAGACGTCTCCTTTATGGTGTCGTTTGGTGCCATGCCGCGGAGGCGATTCACGAGTACTTTGAGCGCCCACATTTTAGCTGTACAGTCTTCGCTTGGCTCGTCCCTCCATGCAGGGTTATCTGCAGGATCGACAGGCGCTGACTTGGTCAGCAACACTTGGTTGATGCAGATGTCGATCACAGGGTCAATCTCATCTTCAATGGCCTTTCCACCGAGGAGCATGAGTTGACTCATGGAGGCCAAGCGAGCGAGATAGTTGCTTTTCCCGTATTCAAAGCCCTTGGTGCTCTTGCGAAGGAGATCGCGGGCGTGCATATCCTTCTTGTCCGTGCTGGTCAGGAGAATCTGCACGCCGTACTTGGCCGCCTTGGGCGGTGTGCCGTACTCGGCGAAGTTGACCATGCTCTGAACAAATTTGCGCTCCGCGGGAACATCCTTTGGGAATCGTTTGGCGAAACCTGCACAAGCTTTGAGATCGTCCACCGCACCGGGTCCATTCGACTTTTTCGCCGTTGGCGCTTCGTTCTCCAGCGCTCTGCACATTTCCTGAACGTAGCCTCGGAAAACGTCGGGGTTGCGGGAAGAAATCTCCTTGAGCGCTTCATGAGCTGTGCTCCCGAGACCCTTCTCGTCCGTCCGCGAGAATTCAATGATGGCGGGCACATGGCTTTTGTTGTACAGCAAAACACTTGCTCGGTATATCAGGGGTATCAAAGTGTCAAGCATGGTCGCCGTTGAGCCAGTGGCATCGTCCATGCGCTTGGTGAGCTCCTTGATGGCTTTGTAAACCTTTCTGTAGTCGCTGTCCGGAGCGATGCAGAATCTGATGAGCTGGTAGGCCCGGCGATCATGCATCTTGGCGAACTTCCAGAGGTCTTCGGAAGCCCTGGAGGATTCTGGCAGGGTCTTTGCGTGGTAGTCGATAAGCTTGCCAAGGTGGAGTTTGGTTTCCTTTTCGCCCTTTTCTATAACACCGCCGTTGTAATCTTCACACTTTTTCAGAAGCGCCTCCATGTATTTGGCTAGCATGACCTGGTTGCTCTGCTTGGAGAATAGGACCACCTTGGACCGCTGAACAAGATCTCTGATGAGGATGAGGATTCGTTCAACTCTGAGTTTGTCAGAATCAGCTTCAGTATGCTCCGTCCTCCCGTTTGCTTGGTTGTCCTGACTGCGAGATTTGTTCTTGATTGCCGGGTAACCTAGTGGCAGAAGTTGCTCAAAGAGAACATGGTCGATGAGAACGTTGACTTCCAGATCATTGAGATAGAAAGCGTCTAGGATGCGAGAAGGAATTGGACCAAGCAACTGAGCGGCACGCTCGCTGCCTTCAGAAATGGCACCAACAGCGACTCCCCAAACCTTGCCGAGAAGATTGGTGGCCTCGGTGCGGACTGCGGATTTCCGATCGCGGACTCTGTCGGCCAAATTACTGAGGACGGAACTGGGTTCAGAAATCCCGCCTCTGCTCCCGAGCTTGGAGAGGATGTCGTCGAACTCGAACCTCTCAATCGTCTTGATAGCAGCTAGACGCACACGCTCGTCTCCGTCCACAAGCATGTCGCCGAGGAATTTGAGTAGTCTTTGCTCGTCCTCGACGTCCAGACCAACCCCCCCAGCGTTAGTTGCCAGGATCCTGCCAATGCTCGTAACCCAGGCCGAACGGATGACGGGGGATTTGTCGTTGCGCCTGCTCAAAAAGCTTTCGTAAACTTGATGGTATCTCGAAGAAAATGAATGAGGAGATGTCGGTGTAGTCAAGAAGTTGTAAGTTTGTAGGCGTTCCGAAGGAGATGTGAGACTTTGAGGGGGATAGGCAGACGGGTTGTAGGATGGTGGCGGAGGTGGCCCTGCTGCCCCGATTCCGGCCACCATGTCTCCGAGGGTCTCAGTCGCAAGAATCCGCAGTTGAACATCTTCCGCACCCAACTCGGCCTCCAGCTGGGGCACAATGTCTTGCAGAACCATGGGCGCAGACCGCCATAGCTCGCGCAGAAGTCTGTGGGCCTTGCGGCTTTCTTGTAAATCCTCTTCCGTGACTTGACGGGGCCGATCGTCATCAGGATCGTCCCCGACGCTGCTCTCCCTCCTACCCCGATGCTTGCCAGGTTTGTGGAGAGAGCCAACACCAGCCGTGGTAGCGTCTACGATGACGGAGCTGAAGTATTGGCTGATCAAGCGTGCCATTTTGTCCGCACATGCATTGCAAATGTTCTTCGCCATGTTGTACGCGGGCGGTGCCTCCCTCAGCAACAGAGTGGATTGCCTCTCATCAAGCTGGGACCCTTTCTTTCCCTTGGCGCCATTGCCCGTTATCGACCTGGGATCCGCGCGTAGGAATTGAGCCAGAATGACGTCCACGACCTCGCCAGGAAGGCCTTGAGACTCCTCGACCAAAGTTGCGAGCACGGCCGTCATATGGTGCTCGACGTTTTTGCTCAGCTCCTCGCCCGACTCGGCTTTGGATGGGCCCGACAGGACGTCAAAGCATATGGTGAACAATGCAATCATCAGATTGCTGGAGGATGGAATGTCGGTGAGGAGGACGACACTCTTGACCTCGGCCAGCGATTTTAGAACATATAGGTGCTGGCTGTTGTAAGGGTCCGAAGGGTCGGAGAGGGCGCGGAATATGGTGTTGATGAAGAGCATGAAGATGTCCTGGGCACTGGGGGTCAGCATTCACGGCGCAAATGCATGCTGGGGCGCGTCTTACCTTCAGCTGCGACGCGGTGTAGGGCGCATCGGGAGCGCATAGGCGGAACATGTCGACGATGCAGCAGCCAGACCAAGCACGGACACCGCGATCTTTATGCGACAGCAGGTTCTGGGATGCCAGCTCCTTCGCGACGGGCAGCAGGGCGTCGCGCTCTGCCTCCTCTTGATCCAGACCCCGCAGCTCCTGCGACAGAGCCTGCAGGCGGCGCAGGAGCTCGGCGACGGGGATGGGCTTTCCGGCGCGCCATGTCAAGGGCTCATTGAAGGTCAGGCCGGCGGATGCTGGGTGGTCGTCGTCTGCATCGTCATGGATCTGGGTTGCGGCGCTAGCGCGACTGCGCGTACCGGGCATGATGGCGGTGTCTCCAGGAGGCGGTGGGATGCGCCGAAGCGCGAGGGGAACGTGTTTCGGCAGCGCAGACGTGCAGGCGGGCGGGCGCAGCTGGTGGCGGGGGATTGGGAGGATGGAGGCGGGATGGGTGGGTGGAGGAGGGGCGCGGTTGTTGCTTGCGGCGTGACGAAGTACGCGTTTGGGACGGGCTCAGACTTTCGGCGACGCGACTCGCTCGAGCTCCAGAGCTTCGAGTCGCCGCCCGACGCGCGCCCGACGATGCCAAGCCCGCCGCCCGCCTCACCTGCCGCTGCCTTCACTGCTGCTCAACCCTCACCTTTGACGGCACACAGCCTTCCGTTTCGTGCCACTGCGTAGGCTGTTGCCCGTTCCGCCAGCAAACTTGGTCGCGCCATGCCTGAGGCCCTGCCAGCCCACACGCTCCTCCCTCGCCGCACCATCACGCCATGGACTCCAGAAGCCGCGCTTTCCAGCAGGTCAGTCCGTTTGCGCAGGAACCGGGGCCCCAAGTGTCCGTGCTGACGCCCTGCAGCTCAAGCCTCACTGCATCGGCCTCAGCCAAGCCGTGCTGGCCGTGGCTGCCCGCAACGGCAACCCCCGCCATGTCGTGGATGCCTTGGGAAAACTCCATGCTGCCCTGCAAGACGCTGCCTCTGATCCGCTCGCCCTGGACGACAAGCTTGCTGAATACGTCTTCTTCCCGCTGTCCCATGTGCTGAAGGAGAAGCAAAAGTTCCCGATAGCAGCGCTGGAACTCACGCTGCAGTGCCTTGCGCTCCTGCTCCACACTGGATGGCGTGCCAGAGTCGACCCTGCCTTGTCACGCCAATTTCTCATTCTGCTGCCTGCTCTGATAAGCGGCAGCGCCCAAACCCAAGTGTCTGAAGAACTGAAAGCAGCTGGCTTTGCTTGTGTGACGGAGCTATTTATCACTTATGGCCAGGGCGAGAGCAGCCGAAAGGCTTTGACTGCGGCAGACACAATTCCGCCTCTAGGCCATGCTATCGTCGTCATCCTGGAAGGGGTGACAGACGGCCCATCTAGTAATGTGCAGCTTGCTGCCGCTCATGCTTTGAGAGCTGCTTGCGCCGCACTCGACGACAGAGAGGCTCTGGCAAGCTTTCTTCCTGGCATCGTCTCGGGCCTCGCAAAAGTCCTCACGCCATCGACCAAGCAGCGCCGCCCGTTCGAGCTTCTCCGCCTCTCCCTTGAGATAATGATATCTCTGTTCAAGGCTGTTCTGAGCGACGAGTACACCAAGCACTTGCCGTCGAGCGACCAGGCTTCCGGTGGAACCCAACAAAAGCTCACTCAGTCCTGGCTCAAGGCTACTGCTACGAAAACGAAGCAGGCTTTGGCCAACATAATCCGCATCCGACAACATGATCGTATAGAAGTCCGGTCAACTCTTCTCGCTCTCTGCTTGACCGTTCTTGAAGATTGCCGCGACTCTCTCCAAGACAGCGCAGCCATGATGATCGAAACCATGATAGTCCTGTGCGGGTCTGATGAGGACGGCGGCATGAAATTTACACTCAAGCAGGTCCTGGCAGCTAATCAGAGATTTGCAGAACTGCTCAGGTCAAGCATACACAGCTGGGTCATCTCACTTCCGCGCGTCATGCAGAGTCCTGACGATTCGGCCAAAAGTCGACTCGTTCAGCAGATAGCCACCGGCTACGAACTTTTGGCTGAGCAAGGGGTTGATATGGATCTCGTCGATAGGACTGTGGCATCCAATCTTCGCGATGGAATCACTGTCGCCATCTCGGATCAATCGAAGCTGAAGGAGATAGCACCGTCTGCCGGGGCAAACGCATCGTTGGATCTGGCCCTTACGACAAAGGGCTCGCCGTCAGTTGACTTCTCCCCTATATTCTTCGATAGCTCTGCGCAAAGGCAAATAATTCACGATTTTCGCGGCTTGGTCAAGAACGTCAGCACCTCAAAGTCAGCGCTGAATGCCGCACGAGATTTGGTCGACTCACTCCACAGTAGCAGAGGTGCTTCCCAACTAGCGAGTTTCTGGGTCGCCCTTGAGTTTCTCAAATCTTCAAACGAGATTGCGGGACCTATAATGGACTTCCTCGATTTTGGGGACGCCGCCATCAGCCCGAGGGAGGAGCTAATGGAAGAGTTGTACTCGCTGTCCTTGGACGTACTACAAGACTCTTCGGCCGACTCCGCAGCGGACTGGAGACTGCTGGCGCTAGCCACGGAAGCCATTGCGCTTCAAGCAAGCACACTGAAGGAGGATTTCCGGATCGAGCTCGTTGATGCCTTGTATCCTATCGTCCACCTCGTAGGCTCCTCGATACCCCAGCTTCGCAGCCACGCTATCACATGCCTCAACATTGTGGCCACTTCCTGTGCCTATCAAGATGTCGGCAGCCTGATCGTCGAGAACGTCGATTACCTTGTGAATGCTGTGGCTTTGAAACTCAACACATTCGACATCTCTCCGCAGGCCCCGCAAGTACTATTGATGATGATCAAGCTCTCCGGTCCGTCGCTTCTGCCCTATTTGGATGACCTGGTTGGAAGTGTTTTTGCGGCACTGGAATCATTCCACGGTTATCCCAAATTGGTCGAGTTGCTTTTTTCCGTCCTAAAGGGAATAGCAGAAGAGGGCGTCAAAACGCCGCAGCTCGCAATCACGGAAGGCGAAGACATCTCCAAGACCATAGAGCCCGAGCCCCAGACAACCATTGACGATATCGTCACCGTCCTCAAGGACATCCAAGCCCGAGAAGCAAAACAGGACGACGATCCAGAGCACGACATCACCGAAATCACCCCCCAGCATCCATGGAAAGACCTCGACAAGAAGAAAAAGAACCCCTTGATCTCCGAAATAGACGAAGACGAGGAAGAACCCGACGACGACAACGACGACGACGAGGAGGAGGAGGACCCCGACGCCGCCGCCGCCACCACCACCGCGAACGACCCCCCCTCCCCTCCCCCACCCGCCCCCAAGACCTACGACCTCCTCCTGCGCATCTCGCGCCTCACCCAGCACCACCTCGCCTCGCCCTCGCCCGCCCTCCGCTCCTCCCTCCTCGCCCTCCTCCGCCGCACCAGCCCCGCGCTCGCCCGCCACGAAGACTCGTTCCTCCCGCTCGTCGACGCCCTCTGGCCCGTCGTCGTCCAGCGCCTCGCCGACCAAGAGGCGTACGTCGTCGCCGCCGCGCTGGAGGTCGCGGCGCAGATGTGCGGGCTGGCGGGCGATTTTATGCGCGGGAGGGTGGAGGGCGTGTGGGGGGTGTTGGTGGGGCTGTGGAGGAGGGGTAGTAGCGGCAGCGGTAGTGGCGGTGGGGGCAGTGGCGGTGGGACGGCGTCGACGATTTCGTTGTCGTCGTCGCTGTCGTTGTCGTCCTCGTCGCGGCGGCTCGACCATCCTGGCGGCGGCGCCGGCGCGGATGCCGCTTCCTCCTCCTCCTTTCTTACTACTACTACTGCGAAGCAGATCCAACCTCATCAGCACCACTACTACACCACCGCGCCCACGCGCATCGTCCGCGCCGCGCTGCTGGAGCTGTTTACCACCATCGTTCGGACGGTGCGGGTTGGCGATGATTTGTTCGAGGAGCTGCTGGAGCTGCTCGTCGCGGTCGTGGCGCGGGAAGGAGAGGTGAGGAGGGCGTTTGAGGAGAGGAATGCGGATGCGGTGTGGCTGGCGGTGTTGAGGTGGGAGGTTGGTGGTGGGGGGCAAAGGGGAGGCGGTGGTGATGGGAGACGGTTGACGACGGTGGAGAGGGTGGGGAGGGAGAGGCCTGGGGCTGGTGGGTTTGTGAGAGTTGGTCGGGAGGTGGACGTTGGTGCGTAGTCAACTGGGCCCTATTCAAAAGAGGTATTGCGACCTTTGGCATTACCTTCACGTACGCCGCAAGTGTCATAGTCGGAAGGGTACTTTGATCAGATAGCTGTTGAATGCGGAAGCATGCATGTTAGTCACCGGCTCTTTCCCACAAACAAAGCAATCCCCCCCCATTCGAATTGATGTTCACATGTAGCTAAAAGACACCATACGGTTGTAGAGCTTGTATTCGTTGCTAAAATAGATCGTTGAGACCAGCTCAGTGACCACAATGAACGGGGTCAAACTCAGTTCTTACTCTCCGAAGCGTCCCTCTCAGGTACATGTAAAGAACGACAACGGTCGGAACAAACCCCCCCACATAAAAGGCCAAAGACCACATCAAAAGAAAGACGTCGAAACGTGTCGCTCCTCTGCCCGCTGACCATTAGGTGCAAAGACCGTTATCGGTGAGGAAGTCGTTGAGTGCATCGATGCATGCAGCGCAGTCGCAAAGCTGCAATCGCTTAATACAAGCACTGTACACAACACTCGGGGTGCGGGTGCTACTCTACTTACCACGCCTTCGCCTCCGACGACGCAGGCAAGAACCGCTGGGACGTCGGCGGTGGCAATGCCAGCAGCGATGCAGCCGGCGGCAGCAACCACGCCGACGCAATCCAAAATATCGCAGTCGGCCTGCACGACGGCGAAAGCGATTTGCTCAGGGGTGACATTGGGCGCTTGGTGAGTCAGTATGGGGCGTGTTCTGAGTGGGTGGTGGCAGCAGGTAAGAAAGACGTACAAGTGTTTGCCTGCCTCTTGGTGAGGCCGCTGTTGGGCGCAGCGGTGGCCGCGACGGCCAGGGCGGAGGCGATCAGACTGGTGAAGAGCATTTTGGTTGGAGTAAGGGGCTGGAGGTGGCTTTTGGGGGTTCTGAGCTGGAGTGAACGGCTGCTGGATGTCGAATGGATTGATGGAATCTTGCTGGCTTTTATAGATGAGCTCGTGGGACACTGTCCTCTCTACGGGCGGATCTCGTGCGGAGTTCGTAGTCCAAGGTCCATTGTTGATCCCACCTGGTGGCGTGAAGAGTGAATCGTCTCTCACACCCACTTGGGTTTCACACTATCGACATAAGCTGACTGCATCGTGGATTCGGTGTGGACAAGGTTGTCTATCACAGCCATTTTGGTGATAGTAATCGGGGAGCAACTTCTACGGCCTACTATGACGAAACTTGGACAGTTGAGTAGTCACTTTACTAGCTGTTAGTACGCGCTTCCAATTCAAATTTGTTATTAGAATGATATAGAAGTACTTCTCGATGCATAATAGTCTTTCCTACATCCGTTGACAAGAGGAAAGAAAGTGATGAGGGGCTTCTGCTAAGAAGGATTTCTCCCCCCATGGCCCCCTTGTGCCTGATGAAAACTAAGCTCTATGGATACACTTGGCCGGCGGTGGCTGCTTATTTGCGTCGGGGGTTCTGAAAGCTTTGCACTAAGTGGCCTCCGTGGTAAGCTCTGTGTCAATCCCCAAGTGCTTTGTTCCCAGGTTAAGAGGGCAGGCTGCTCTGGCCGCGATACTAGAAGTAGAACACAAAGGTCTATTAATATGCCGTTATGGCTCTAGTCTTTCTTGTTTTCATCCCGTTTGCCTCTTTATGATATGGCACTGCCGTGATATCAAGGCAAGTCATTAATCCCCTCCTCAGTCATCACATTTCGGCATCCTTTGCGTGAGGATTTCTAGCCTTTGGTGTGCCTTGACCCGCAATCGACTGTTTCGGTAGATTTCTGTTGATCCCTTGCAGGATGACTGCAGCCAACGGTTGAAGGAATACGAAGGCAATGGTTGTGAGTGACCTTGTGACACCTAAGCTTGGCATTGAAGTGTTTCGACTGATGTTGGGCGACAAGTAAAATCCGACAAATATCTCGTTAGATATTTGCCGTGCATGATTCAACAGATACAACTATCAAGTCATCTCCATAAGGCAGCTACATGATGCAAACCTTCAAGCGCACTATTCGAAACAGTGAGGAGACGACAGTCTGAGCGTAGCAGCCCGATTGTTCAAGGCGCATGATCTGTAAGCAATCTTGAGTCCCTTTGCCTTGGTCATCATGACAGACGTGGTAACAATATAGAGAGAGCACGTCCCACGTGTGGCTTTTTAGCCGGATCAGCCTTGCCACCTTGTACTGAGCTTGATTCAGCCCTAATACTCGGCTTTTTGGCAGAAATCGCAGTGTATTCGATTGGTCTACTGAGCCCTAGGCTGCGGCGAGGCCTGATGCGAGTGAAAGCGAACCGCAGTCCCGGTTCAGCAGACGTCAATTATACGGGAGTATCCCTGTCAAGCCCGAGTCCCTAACATACACATCGATTTTATGGACATGGCCCCAGCCATGGCTATTAAGGCGATGACGTGCATGCTTACCGTAGGCGGCCCGGCGATCATGTCACGCCCTCATGCTTTACGTCGGAGCAGATCTTCCTGTTGAAGGTAACGTGGCGCCGATCTTTGCCTGAAGATGTCGAGCTGGGCCCTCCTTCTTAAAGGGGATTGCGCCACCCAACGTGCTGAATGCTCCAGATGTAACCTCTGTCGCTCGACTTGTGCCGAATACCCGCTTAGATTGCTTTTTAGCTGCTTCAGCACACCTTCTGTGATCCTTGAGCGACTCACGAGTGACCAGTCTTTGAACAAAAGTTGACGATCTCGGTCGCTGTCTGACCACGCCTGATGTTGGGGTCCAATTTATACGACGTGGGATTCGTTGTACTGAAAATCCCACCAATACCTGCAGGTAGTTCCTTTCGATTCTCAGCACCACGGGAATTCGATGTTGGGTGCCTTGAGTGGCTCAGTAGAGGTCAGTTCGGAGCAATCCTACTGAAGTATCTCCAACTTGCTTGTGTATGCATGCTAGGAACAAAGATTACTTAACAGTACAATGCTTACTATGCCCAGGAGAGTGAGCGTCTTGCGTAGCTAAGAAAATGTGCACCGGTGGCAAGCTCTTTGACATGAAAATTGGCGGTTAGTTCGACTGCTGCCGCTGCCCATTTATTCCATTTTCGCCTGCGTCGACCCTAACACGGCCTTCACCACACCATTTAAAATGCTACTTTTATCTTACTTCCGGGTGACCGTTAGCGTTAAACCCAGTAGTACGAAGAAGTGGGAAGCTCATGACTTTTTCTTATCCAATCGCCTTCGCCCGACCCCAAAGCCCAAGGGTATGGGGAAGATTCTGGAAACTTACCTCATTGGCTCTGCCAATGGACTTGATTGTATTAATGCTGGAAGTTCAGAGTAGGATAGGGTCTTGGACCGATTGTTACGTAAAGCGCTACCAACAGGGAATGCTAAAATTCAGCTAGATCGTGATTATTGACGTTTCGCGGTTGGAAATCAGCAGAAGCAGCAGCAGCAACACGGCTCCATGCGTATTCAGAATCTCTCCGGTCATCAGGAAATTATCATGCACACAGTTTCGAATGCACCAAGTCAAGCATTTTAGTGATCGTTGATTTTGGCTGCCAGCCTTCTCGAACCGTGTTCGCCCACGTATCTGTAATTATCATGCTGTGGGTTTTATTGTATTGGGCAATCGGCAGTGTATTACTCTTTTCAAAGTCTACATCAAAATCCGTTTCATCTGCTCTCAATTTTTATGGTTGTGGTGTTCATCACTCCGCGGTGAAGATCAGTCACTTGCTTGGTGTTAAGGACGAAGCAGGCACTGCGTAAAATGACTAGGTGCTGAAAACATCTGGTGGGGATAATCAGCTTTTGAAGACGTTAATACTCTCCATTATTTCGGCTTCATGCTGGCTTTGCCGCCGACCCGACTCTGTGCTGGGCAAAAGTCAAGGCCGTTCAAGAAACAGTCGCCGTGCAAGGCGGTAACAGTGGTGCTCAGTATCTGTGAACCACACAAAGCCACAAGGCTTACTTGCACTCTGATAAATATTAGTCGACGAACCGCGCTGGGTGTTGTCGAAGAATCAAGAGTCCTTGCCCTCAACTTCGCATTTATGGCCGGGGAAATCTGAAATGTTTGTCATGACACGCGGCTGATACCTATTCAGCGCCCTGAGAACAAGAAACGCCCAAATTATCACATGCATGCTTCTCCTGCAGGTGCCAGACGAACCTCTTGGCCTTTCGCTGACTGGGTTCCACCCGATCACTTAAGACAGCAGCATACAGCCATACAACTTCTGTGATGAGACAGATCTCTCCGTGATCACGATAGGAGGAAAAACACACCATATTCCGGAAGCCCGACGTTTCACTTTTGTTTCCCTTCTAAGATTCTCGTTAACGACACGTGAACATTGAATTATAAGGATGCTGATGCATTACAGTTTTAAATCTGCATGCTGGAGCATCGCATCATGAGAGATCGATCAATCGACTTGCTGTGGCATTCCACTTTCGCAAGGTTGATAGACGACCTACCGAAACAGCCGAGGAGTGTGCGTGACAGGTGATCGTGTTGCGAAACAGTAGTGAATTATCATTCAGCTACGCTCTATCTACAAGAAGTCTTTGTTAAGGAACGAAGAAGGTCAAGGAACGGGCCTACTTTTATAAGAAAAGCAGGCGGTGAGAAGCAACTAATTACGCCGAAATGAGTACCCAAGTGGCCCGTACGGACCACAACACATCGACAGCTCTGATAAGAAGTGTAGAAGATATCGACTCATAGCAAGGTTGATAGATAGGAACGGGTGAGCTTATCAACAACATTCTATCGAGATCTGGAACTTGTGTCACTGACCAGTCCAAGTCATTCGAGCAAAGGCATTCTGAAAGGCAGTCACGCTTGTGATTACCACCACTTGCTCTACCTCTAGACGACTAAATATGCACAGCTCTTTACAATCTTGACTCGACGGGGAGATTACAGCAACAAATGACAATATCTCAGTCTGCGGTTGTATTACAACACGAAGTGATGTTACAAGTATTGGGCTCGCAAAGAGTTGATCTCGGCATTGGGCACTCAGTCTGCCTTCTTTTCGAGATAGCTGATGACGTTGACGACCTCCTTCTGCGACAGGGAACTGGTAATACCCTTGTAGGCTTCATACATGATCCACAGCGGGAGCCAGACCCACAACGTATTGAAGAAGAACAGGTAGACCCACCTATCAGATTCACATGTCAGCCAGGAACAGTAAATGCACCGGTGAAAGGCCGCCAAGCCACAGGAAACTCAAAAGCTTCTCGAGCACGATACCTACCCGCTCGAAGCGAAGCGGAGACAGCGGATGGGACAAGGTTTTACTTACTTGAACATGAAGTTTGAAGTGTCCAGGTTAGGGGAGCCGGAGAGCCATTCGGGTGCAAAAGTCATGAAACCTAGAGTGAAATCACCAACCACGTCAGCCATGCATATCCGCACCAAGACGCCATGCATGCCACATCATGCAAGTCATGAACCCCTCTCCCCAAGCCGTTCTCCACAATTATCCGAGAACCCCAATTGGCCTTCAACCAGAAGAACTGTCCAGACCACAAACTCTTATCTCCCCCGTCCCCTTCACATGCGGCCAGCATCCGCGCCCCCCATCGAGCCTCCATCCACCTCTTCAACCAGCCCTTTCCCCCCTCCCACAAAACCATTGGTTCCTCCCACCCAACCCAACCCAACCCAACCCCCCCTCAAAAACGAATTAAAAAAAAAAGAAGGGAAAGAAAAAGACTCACCCCCATACAGCTCCCCCGTCGCCAGCACCACCATCCAGAACCACTTGCGGCCCTCCATCCCCTGCCGTCCCGCATACCACTCGCCGCGCCGCACCTGCTCCGCGCACCACAGCGCCAGCGGGCCCGCCAAAAAGACCGTCAGCAGCTCGATGCTCACGACCGTCAGGTCCGCGCCGCCCCACCGGCGGTCCGCCTTGGCGTACTCCTGCCACAGCCGGCTGAACGGGCCCGTGCCGTACGCGGCGCCGAAGAGCGTGTCGTTGCGCTGCAGGAAGAAGACGTCGGGCGGGGTGAGTATGAGGAAGTCTTGTGGCGTCGGGCTGCTCGGCGGCGGGGTGGTGGTGTGGGCGTTCGAAGCGGCGGCGTGAGCGGCGGCGGCGGCGATCGAGTACGGCGACAAGGGCGAGGGGGCGGCGGCGGCGGCAGGCGGCGGCGGGGGGATCCAATGCACGCAGAAGCAGTTCCAGAGGAAGGAGCCCTCGAAGACGAAGTGGATCAGCGCGTCGAAGAGGTGCCAGACGAAGAGGACGCGGGCTTTGGGGCCGCTGCTGCGCGGCAGCAGGCGCAGCGACAGGGCGTAGGCCGTCGCCAGCACGGCGAGCGTGCCCAGCAGCGACAGGACGGTGGTGAGGTCGATCTGCAGCGTCGAGGTCGCCATGGTGGTCGGTCGCGGTCGGTCGCGGTCGACGTGGAGCCAATGGGCGGGGTGAGCGTTGCGAGGCGGGATTTGGCAGATGTTCTCGCGTGGGTGCGAGTGTTTGGGTTGCTGAGCTCTGCCGCTTGCAAGGGCCGAGAGCGCCTGACTGGCGACGATCACAGGTAAGTCGGGCGCTGGTCTTGCTATTTAGCTTGGCCCACGCTCGCGCACGATGCAGTCTGCACTTTGATCAAGATCTGCCAGCTTCTTGTATTCCAATGTTTTTCGATTTTCGAATGCCTTTTCTACGCATGTCGTCATGTTGTCCCGGCATAACACCCTGCCTAACACCAGAGATCCTTCCTTGACCCGTTCCGTAAAACCAATCTCGTCGACTGCTGTCAAACGATCGCTCAATGCCGCTGATAATCCACCTGTTCGTCGAACGAAGCGGAAAGAGGGGAGAGAAAGCGCCCTCCATGGAATCGAAAACAAACAACAAAAGCAAGATCGACCAAGACGCAACTTTTTGAACCCATAGACCCACCACCAAACCAAAAAAAGCACACAGAGCATACCAACCCATGTTGCACCAGCGGAGCGGAGAGCCCACGGTTACTCAGGCAAAAGCCACATACTTACAGCCTGTCTATTAAAAAGCAATGAAAATAGTCGGAAACCAAACCATACCCACAAACGCCGTCGTGTGCAGAGCGCCGTCCCAATTGGAATGCTGTGCAAAATCGCAATTTCCAGAATGCATGCACCTGCAGTAAAACAAGGATAAGAATGCGATGTTCCGCAGTAGCGCCACTGCCATCACCGCCATCGGCGTCGAGTATGTGCCGTCCGCCTCGGAAAGAGCACTTGGAACTTCGGTTTCACCACGCACAGCTAAGCGGTGGGCCCTCCATCCGTCCGTCGTGTCGTACTCGGTAAAGCTCGTAGCAGCGTGATCGTGACCGAAAAGAAATTCGTAAGTTCGCCCCCAAGGCCCCGGCACCCGTCACAATCACTCATCGCTGTGATTGCTAACCGAGTATCGCCTTGGGGGTGTGCGACTCGAAAGAGATGCCGCCATGCATGTTGTACGGGTAGCCGAAAGAAACAGGAGGAGTGGTGCGGTCGCCAAAGTCGGACCCTGTCACAGGCCCGGGTGACGCCGACCTAGATAAAAAAGGACTCGCGGCGCGCGCCGGCAGTCGGTGGTCCATGGCGCCGTCCATCGACGACGGCACTTCCTTTGGGGGGCTAGGGCTGTTCGATCCAGATCCCTGGAGGCTGGATGCGCTTCCGTCGGATTCGATGTCGCGAGCTCCGTCGCAAGAAACACCCGGCTTGGGACTAGACACCTGAGGAGAGCCCCGTCCGGATCCGAACTGCATTGGTTGTCAGCGTCCTGGTTCAATGGCCCGCCGGGGTGGTGGTGGTTGTGCTGGCAGTGGTGGTGGGTGCGGGAGGACGTACGAAACAGTATTTTTGAATCAGCTCGTTGTACTCCGCCGACTTCAAATCCGGCTTCACCGACGACAACTGGTCCGGGCGGGGCGAGGTGGACTTGGTCGTGGCAGGAGCCTCGCCCTGAAGGCTGAAGTAATCACCGCTCCGCGGCTTGTTGGTTCTCCGGATGCCGCTGCGGTCGCCAAGAGCGGTCTGGGCGCTGGACAGCGCCTGAGACAGCGACGTCGAGAAGTCGTAACGGGTGGAGAAGGCTTGTTGAGTCGGCGACGGCTTCGACTCGGGCTGATCGGGGAACAGGTTGCTCTTCGACGGCTTGCTCTTGCTCCTCAGCTTGATTGGAGGCTGCAAGCCATCGCTCGAATCGCGCGAACCGAATGTGTACCGAGACGATTCGTAGTTATTGCCGAAATCGTCGTCGAGAGGCACGGGCATGGACCGAGGCCGGGCCGCGGGTGGGGAATGCTTGCTACGTGGTATCGCACCAAGGGTGCCAGCAGGCCTCTGCTTGCTCCTCGTGTTCTTCAGTGGGGTAGTCTTCTTGATGAAGTCGATCTGGAAGTTCATCGAGTTGTTGTTGTCCCAGTGCTCGGCGCCGTCCACAGTGTAGCGAACGCAGAGCAGCATCGTCTTCGACTCGAGGTTGGCTTGGTCGGCCAGCTTGATGTTGAAGACAAAGCGGTCACATCCGTCGTGGGTCTGCTTCCGGCGCACATCATCGCTGTATTCGGCAGCGACCTCTGAAGTGGTCTTCCAGTAATCCAGGGTAAAGCGGGCCACAACTGCTTTGTGGAAGGCAAGGTTCGCAACAGCAACCGTGCCCACGAGAGTGGAGCTATCAGACGACAAAGCGATCTTCTCAACGCGCACAGGCAGGGTTTTCCGCTCGAAAGTATCCCTGGGGAAATTGGCCAACCGCAGCTCCCATTCGACCCGCGAACGGCGAGACGAAGCGTAGCCGTTACCGTCGTCGTATCCGAACGGATATTCGCTTTCGCTGTCGTAGGTTTCGACAGGCGACGAACCAGCGCTGACAGCGATGGGACGGTCGACCTGCAAGAAGTGGCGGACCTGTTCAATGTCGTCGTTGAAGTGCACGGCTTTGGAGAAGGACGGTGTGCCGGGCATGCTGGACGGCCGACGACGGTTCCGGGAGGAGGGCCGAAGGGCCGGCTTCACTAGCTCTCCCGACTTCTTGCGGAGAAGCGGGGGCTTCATCGTCAGGCCCTCTTCGTCGCTCTCGTCTGATGTCTGAATGGGCGACTCGGAGAGATTAGGGGTATGCTTGGAGAGCTGGATTTCGCTCGAGGACCGAGAGTGCGAGATCTTCCGAGCCTCTGGGGTGAGAGCCGGCCTGATCGGACCGGTGACTGGCACTGACTCGCGAGGGGCCGAGGCGGTTCCATCAGGTTGTCTCTCAGGGGAGTGGCCGCGCTTGACTTCGATGCTCTGCAGAGCCTCCTGCAGCTCGGCAATTTTTCCGGATTGGCGGCCACGGTCCTCATCGTCGGAGTTCTGCACAGAGTCTGGAGGAGTCGACTCAGCACCTACTGGTATCAACAGCTTCATGGAGGGCAGATTGGCGTGGTGGGCACTACCATTTGTGTGTGTCACCGACACCTTGGCTCCATCCTGCGGGGACTGTGATATTGACGGTGTGCGGCGGTGCTTGCTCAAGTACGACGCAGAAGAGTGGGGAAGGACGGGCCGGTGAGCCGCACTGGCCGACCGCGGGCTCAAGCACCCCTCGCTGTATGAATGGGTGCGGCTGAGGATAGGACTGTTGGATTTGGAGGAGGCAGGAGACCGCTGGGAGGGCGGCGTGTAAGGCATCCGGGCGGCTTGACGGGCTTCTTGGGCGAGGGTGTTGCGTTGAAGGCGTTTAGGAACGACAGGGCATTAGAAGAAGCAAGCGCGGACGAGTATTACACACTAGGGGTGTCAGCAGAGGTGCAATGGGAGGGAGGTGTGTGTTGGGGGGGGAGGCGCTGTGGTTTTGATGCGTGCCGACAGCGGCCGGGCCCGGACAGGGAAGACTCACAGAATATAGCGGCAAGCGACGGATGCAGGACGCTCAACGAGGACAAGGGCGACGAGGCTTGCCGGACTGCGGAGGGGGAGGAGAAGTAGTGTCGGGCGACGGTGGGTGTTGAAGCAGGAAAGCGAAGCCGGGAGTTCCGTGCTGTGCTGTGAGTACGCTCCTGCTGATGGCGTAATGCGAGGCAGCCGTGGACTGATAAGCGGGCCACACAGGAAAGGCGCTCGCGGGTGCACGCTGAGAGGGGGGTGCCACAGCCTGATTATTATGGGGAAGCAGCTCAGTCCCGGGGGAGGCGTGGTGAGGAGCAGGACGAGGAGGCGCTGCGGGTGTTGAGGGCGCGGCGGAGGGATTGGGGCGGCGTTGATGGAGATATCCCTCCCACACTCTAAATTCTGTACCGCCGCACGGGCGAATGAAATGGCGCGCTTGGCTTGCAGGCGGTGGTGCGCTCGAACGAGGACGATCCCAACCGACTCGAGCAAGGATCCGGGGCCCGGCGTTAAAACGAGCGTTGAAGGATTTGCTGCAGATCGGGGTACAGCAGTGCTACGATCAGTGACAAAGCCGGCCAGACCTTTGTTCAGCAAGCCGGCCGTCGTACTCGCGGCCGCGGCCGCAACCAGGGCGCTGTCGGACCAGCGCGCTCGCACATGGCCGTGGCAGCACGCCGTCTTCGCCGTGTGTCGCGATGCCATCCCCGCCGCCGTCGCACCAGCCTGACCGCACGACTCGCTCCGCGCGCGCCCTCCGTCTGCCACAGTGACGGCGGGTGGGCCTTCGCGCAACGCCTAGGACAGCAGCCGCCGCCCACGTTGCCGCTGTTGTTCTTGCTTGCGGCCGCGCGCAGGCCGTGGGGAGCAGGTCACCAGCGGGCCTCTGCATTGACATCATCGCGGGTTCTCGCCAGCACCAGCCTCCGCGTCTCCACGTTCCCCAGTGCGCCGAGCGCCAGCGTCAAAAATGCTGCTGTTCCGCCGTCCGCTGGAGTCGCGACCGCAACCAGCGAGCGCGCGCGCAGGCGGCAGCGCGGAACGAGGCGCAGGCCGGCGCTGGCTGATGGAGCTCAGCGGCATCGCGGCAACAGGGTGCCGCAAAATGCGCATTCCTGTCCCATTCTCATCGGCCCACCGCACTCGAAGCGGCGCGGCGCACGGCTGGGATGTCCGTGCCCCCCCAGCAAGCGAGCCGGTCTCGTCCCATTGCGCTGCGCAAGTGTCTGTCATCCTGGGCTCTTCCAAGGCCGCTACTGTCCATGGCTGATGGCCGCCCTCAACCCGGCGTCGGCCGCCCGCAGCAAGCAAGGCAGGGAGCCAGCGCCGGCGTGCAAGTCGCGGCCCCTTACCCCTCCAGGCCCTGGCACTGGCTCCCCTCTGGCGCGCCGCCGCGAGCCATGGCTGCGTATGCGCCACGCCGCCGTCAGCACCGCCCCGTCGCCGTCCCGGTCCCAGCAGGCCCAGCAGGCCCAGCAGTCCCAGCAGTCCCAGCTCGCCGCAACCGCCTGTCCGCGGTTGGTGGACACTGATCGCATGTTTGTCACCTCTCGCCAGTCTGGCAGCTCCACCGCGCACGTCGACGGGTGGGGCACCACACGTTTACAGCCGCCCCCGCAAGACCCTCCACCAGAAGAGCAAAACGCGCTGCATGTCACGACAAATCTGAAGCAGATGATGTACTTGCGACGCGCCCGCTGACTCGGCTCGCCTGCGCCGCCAATCGCGCGCGCGCCGTCGGGCTGGCGGCCCCCAGCGCGCGACACCACACATCAAAGCTTTCATCAATCGATCGATGAAGCTGCCCTGTGAACGCTGTTTCTGCACACCGTACATGCCTCCGCTCCGCCTTCGACCTTTGATGACTGTGTGCTCTGCTCCGCGCAGGGCTGGCGGGACGCGGGACCCTTGGCTCGTGGCTGACATCTGCGATCGTTTTCTTCACCGACCCTTTCCCTCCTTGCATCCACACAGCAGACCCCACCTAGCCACTCCGACGTCAAACTTCTACCAACAAATTCGCGGGCGATAACGCAGGAGCCGCGATCTCCCCCCCTTTCTCTCGAACTTGCGGCATGAAGAAGGCCCACCCGGCTCCATCGCGCAGCGCGAGCGTAAGGAGAAGCTTCGCCGCTGGCCAGGCGTCCTGGAGGAGATTTGCAGCTCGAGGGTCCGTGAGCATGGCAGCCAGCCGACGTGATTGGGCGTGAGAGCAGTTCGCTGCATTGCAATCCCGGCCCCGAGCGCTGTAGCACGAGCCTGCTAACGGTTCCCGGCCGCCTAAAATAACAAGCTACAGCGTGTTCAGTGGCGCTTGCGGCAATGTGGTAGCACCGCCCGCTGGCAGCGTCCGAGTTGAGCAGGCAGGGATTCAGGGCGTCAGCGGCAGCAGCAACAACAACAACATCATCTCAACGCATCGCGCGGCTGACGAGATGTTTTCACAGTGGATGCCGCCGCACGCACACGGCGCAGCGCACAGGTCGTGCAGGCCGCGGGCGGGCGTGCGGCCACGCGTGTCCCGCGATGGAGTACCCCGGATCCATGGCAGAGCGCTGGCAGCGGTGCATGTGTGCAGGAGCGGAGCCAACAGAAGTCAAAATAATCTGCTGGCAGAAAGGGCTCGCGGCTGACTCGTCTCTCACCGCCCGGCAGGGAAGACGCGTCGTGGGCTGCCGATCTCCCATGGCGGCGATCCGCCGTGCCGGGCCTGCGTCAGCGCTGGACAAGGCAACTGTTGGCCGCGGCAGCTCTCAACCGATATCAGCGCACTGGGCCGTGGCGGCGCCATCGCTGGTCCTGCACTGTCGAGCACTGTCTGCCGCCCGGCTGGCAAGGGGTGACTGCGCCTGCAGACGAACAATTTCCGTCGCACCGCGAGGCTCGCCGAACGCGCGCTTATCAGGGGCGCGGCGGGCTCCTTATCGTTGGATACGGGCGCCCGCGGCACCGAGCCGGCGGCGGCTGGAAGGGGTCTCCGGTCAAGCTTGGCTTTCCCGTTACGTGCGACTCCACAGAGCCACGGAGATGGTGCCAAGGTCAGCGTGCGACGTCTGCAGCGGGCTGCCAATGGCGGGCGTGGTGTCGCAACTTGCGAAACGGGGCTGTCGAGGCGGTCTGCCACCGCTGACGACATGGCTGTGCAGAGGACGTCGGGAAAATCATCACTGAACTCCACTTGGCACCTCGTTTCGGGCCTTTTTGCCCAGCCTTCACTCCAGTTTCCAATACCCCCCACCTCCAGCACTGCGCGGAATTCACCCCTGCAATGGACCTGCTGTCCGGGGAGACGCGGCCCGACTAGGGTGGATCTGGCACACAACACCACGCCCACTATTCCGACTTCCATGCGCGGCGTTGCAACAAGCCCAGTCGCCACATTCTCGCGGCCACGGCCGACATCGCTGTCGCAGGCGTCGTTGAAACGCGGATATTGTGTTTGCGTCTGTCTGGTGCAACCGAGTCCGCCACACACCCTCAACGCGTCTGCAGGGCTCGCACAGGCGCGCGAAAACCCTGCTCCAATGCCAGGCTGCTATACCAGCCCCGGGCCGCCCCAGCCGTGGCGGCGGGAAATTGCTCAGCAGCAACATCACGCAAGCGGTAAGCTGTACGAGTCCGTCCTCACTGCTGGAATGCCCAGGTCAGCCTGCTCTCACAGCCTCACCATTTCCGTCGCACCGGTCATCGACGTCGTCATCCATAAAGTCTGTTCTTGTGAGTCGGCAAGCTGCATAGACCTGTGCTTTTCGCGAGTATTGGCTCCGCTCGGTCCTGGAAGCCTCGCAGGCCAAGCTTTTGTTTTTTTTCACTATCCGCGGAGGCGCCGGTCTCAGTTGCTCGTATCGTCCAATCTGCCGCGCACATCCGCAAATCTGATCGAGAAATCCAGAAGCGCATCGTCGATGGCCGCGGCAGCACGCGCCGCAACCGAGCTCGCCGCCAACCAAGGCGTAAGCGAGCCAACAGCTTCTTAGGTGCGGCGACCTGTGTCGCAGATCCCAAGAGCCAAGCCGTGCTGCCGAAAACATGGATTTCACGACTCCAACAAAGCCTATCACCACCATGCATTTTAGAAGAGGCCACGGGGCCCCCCGCTCGCTGCACCCGGAGACTCCCTCGAGCATGCTCTTCGCCTCGTGACTTGGCTACCATCTTAGCGACGGCATGCGGCAGCAATATGTAGCACTGCAGAAAACCTTATCACGCTCACAATGCAGGTTCCGAAGACGCCCAGCGTGCTGGGCCGCAGGGCCGCTCAAGTCCCTGAGCAACTCACGTGCGACGCGTAGAATGTTCTCCATGGAGCCAAGCTCTGCCAACGTCAACGGTCGCGCCTGGCGACGGGTCCTGAATCAATAATAACGTCGGGTGCGCTGCGTTGAAGCGGTGGAACGTGCCGTATGCTGCCGCCGGGAAGCGTGCTTCTGCCACCCGAGGCCGGTTACTGCAGCGATCCAGATTGGCTCAATTTGCGCCAGGGCCGTCCCTCTGCCATTGCTGGTCAGCTTGCTGGTCCTAGCCCGCCATCCAAGCTCGTTAGCAGACGACTGGCCTTGCCGAGATGGTAGGTGTTGGTGTGCGCAGAATGCGGGGAAGCCTGCCGTTTCACAGCATGCTACCGACTTACGCGCGTCTGGACGGCGAAGCCACGCACGGCCCCGACACAACCGCACTCACCCTCCGGCCTCACCACCATCCGCAACAACTTCATTCATCCCAGCTCACCGGTAAACCACAGAACAGCCGCCTCACCGCCGTGGCTGGCACAGCCTGCGCTCTCGTCACGCTCGCGCTTGCGGCAAACCTGCCCCCAAGCGGGGTAGCCGCCGCAAGTGTGTTTCGCACGTGTAGCTCACCGCCAGTCAATGCCACGTTCAGTCAGCGGACTTGCAAGGGCAGCCGGGAAGGAAGGCGAGAGACGGCACAGAAGCCGACTCGAAGGAATTGCCACAGCCACATCCAGCAGTAGCAGTGGCAGTGGCAGTGGCTCTAATCTAATCTTCTTCACCGGCTACTGCAAGATCGTCTGGTGCCTTCACAATACAATACCGCCGCAGCGCCGAGCGATACGCCTTGACATGCCGCGCTACTTTCAGTTCCCAGCTCCTGCAGCGCCTGCAGCACTTGCTCCGCAATCATGCATACGCTTTCGAGTGCGCCTCAGCCGTTCACCATTCACGTCGCAAAGCCAAGCTTTTGTGAACGTTGCTGCAGTGTTATTTGCGTCTGCAAGACCAGCACGAGCACGACCATCTTCTCGGCACCATATCCTGCGGCTTTGCGCCGTCTGGCAGCCGGCTCGTCGTCGCAGCCAGTAACGGCCGTCTCCATCTGCCCAAGTCCGTCGAAATTTGCGGAGAAGCCTGTCGATCGATATGCAGCATGCTGCTCTTATTGCAGACGCTTACTGTATCGTGCACCCTGACTGTGCTGTTGCATTGGCCTTCTGCCACGCCTTCACTCCTGCCTTGCAGTTCTGCAGATACAACAACGGCCAAAGAATTTGCTTCTAGATCTACACGCCACTAGATTGGGGGAGTCATGAGGACTGCCGCTTGCTGCTTGCGCCCACGTGGTGTAGTACGGATTCGGCAGTAGATGAAGAAAGCAAGCCACGCCTATTGCCCGGGCCCAAACAAAAGCTGCATGGGTGATGATTCCCACCCCGACCGGTGACGGCTCCATCGGCAGAGTCCACGTGAATGGCTAGGTCTTCTCCTACTGTCGGACGGTCTCTCTAGAAGAGAAGAGAGGCCGAATCACAACGTCCCGATGTATCACGATTCACCATCACAATCACGAGGCAAGGGGTGGTTCTTCGGTCCATAATCCTAGGTACGCAGTCGCGCGAATACAGGGTGGATTACTCGCGAAGCTCTGATCGTTCTCCACTGAATCCAGCTCGACGACCCTCGCTGGCCATCTCAGTCGGTCTTTCCTCGTAGCAATACTCCCTGAAAGCCATTATTCAGGAGTAGTAGTGCACCATCAGCGACAAGGTGATGAAAGGCCACCGCAATAGTGACGCTATACACAGGAAGAGTTAAAGAAGAAGGCCTTATTCTCCGTGTCCAACACGAAGGTGGAAAGGGCCGAACCAGATACCAGACCGAGTGGCGGTTGGCCATGAACGTAGAAGCTGAGAACGCTTCTTTCAAGGGATCTTCCTTCTGGACCCAGCCATCAGCCATGGGAGAATGACGATCAGCGATAACCGTGCTTTCCGGCGTGCCAGGCGGCGCGCGGGGCGGTAGACAGCCGGTCGACCCGGCCGTCAGACATGGTGCCACCACGCCATCTCTATGCTGCACCGTATTGCCATGCTGGAGAAGTCCGCGCGGGAGAGGCTGGGTGCAGTCGGAGCTTCATGTGGGTGCGTGATTCATCAATAATAGACGACCATCGACAGAGGGGAGGGGATTCTCCGCCGCAGGTGGAGGAGGAGGAGGAGCAAGAGCGGTGCCCCGCCCCGTCCCGTTCCCCCCCCCCTCGCACCACCACCACACCAGTAGCAACCCACCCTTGCGCCTGCCGCAGCCCACAATTCGGGCCCCTGCAACCCACCAGGCCCCCTCTCTTCCTTCGAGCGCACCCTGAATCCCCCCCTCCCATCTCCTCACTCCCCGCATTCGGCAACAACACCCACTTCGGGCTCTGGCACAGCAAACGCCTGGGCTAGCCCAGCCCTGGTCTGGCCTGGCTCACGCGCTGTCTCCCACCCTCGCCACCCCGCGACATCGCAATGTCCGAATCTGGCATTAGGTCCCCACACTACCTATGCCGCTTAACTAAATTCCAGACCCTTACAATACCGTAGCTTGTCGACAGTAGTAGTTACCCCTGGGACCAAGAAGCAACAATTGGACACTTCTAACAATAACATGGCTGCTCTCGCGCCATTAAAATGCTGACTCTCTGCAAGCCGCTTTTGTCCGCCCGTTTTTTTTTGGTCCCTTCCCCGCAATTCACACTCACTGATGACTGCGGCACAGCTGTGAGCTGATCGGTGTGATTCCGCCAAATCCCTGCTGCTTTTCTCCGCGTGTGCAACCGCCACAAAGTTAAAGAAGAGAGAGAGGGTTTTGCATGTAATCAACAGCGTCTTCTCGCTATCGCTCTCACCTGCCGTTCGAGGTTCCTCGGCGCTCCCGACCAACTGGACGGGGGCGGGGCGGGTGGTGCGTTCCGAGGCATCGATGCCGTGCTGCCGCCGCATGTAAGGGTTGCGTTGATTAGACCGTGTGCATTTGCGCTGGGTTTGCTGCAAGAGAGGACGAGAAGAGAAGAAATCGAGTGGGGGTTAATCTTGACTGAACCGCATCGTTGGAATGTGCGTGGGAAAGACCCATCTCGTGCGTTTGAGAGAGCTGATGAGTGCGCGTACGATGACATTAGCATCGCGGGCGAACCGGTTGTTCGGGAAACAATTAAGATGGGAATCTCTCTCTCTCTCTCTCTCTCTCTCCCTCGCTCGGCTGGCGTGCGCAATCATCCCCACTTGCTGGCAAGGGAAAGCGCGGCAGAGCAGCGGGGAATGGTTGTCAGAGACCAGGACGACGACGTTTCGAAATGTCTTTGCTTTTTATCTTTTGCGATATGTATGCATGGTCAGAGTTGGGCATTTGATTGATGATGACCCTGGCCTTGGTAAGGGCGGGGGGCCGGACGGATAGCTAGCCTGGGAGTCTTCGATTGGTTACCGCTTGCTCGTTTTGAGATGGAGTGCCTTATCTCTCTCCAGGCACTACACAGTAGGTACACATGCAGGAGGCCTTGCATCGTTGCAGCAATGTTTCATGGGGAATCGCCGATATCGTCATGTCTGAGATTCGGTGGCTATCGGCCATGCTATTGGGTATGGCCAATCTATCATCGCATTCACGACCGAATGACCGCATTTTGCACCACCGGAAACTCGGGCCTACAGGGCAAAGTTTTTGAGACCAATATCACGACGACGAGTGGAACCGAAGGTTTCTGCTCTACTGCGCAAGGACAAAGGCTCCTTTCTTTTTTTACTTTCCCCTACGATCCCTCCTGTCTGCCAGCTATGTTGTCAAGGAAGACGCGAGGGCCTCCATCCATCTCGAGATCACGATAGATGTTGATCAAATCTTAATCACCAGGGAAACGATCGACGCCATTGCTCCTCCTCTGCTTCCTTCGTGACTTGCTTCTTCTTTCCCTCTATCACCATAGGAACCGGAGGCGACTAAAGTCGCACCGTGCTACCCGGCCATGTTCGTTTTACACCGCTCCCGGCCCATCCCGCCGCCCTACATTCGGACGGTGAGACAGACAAATCCTTCGCCAGGCTCCGCCTCACTTGCGGACTGATCACAAGACCACAGAAGCATACGTACCTCTTCTCTTCCTCTCTCTCTCTTTCTTGCTCATTTCCGAGAGTACGCCGGAAGAGCATGGGGAAGGATGACGATGGGGCATTTTTGCCGACCACGCAGCGCTTGGCTCCTACCCGGCGACAGACGGGGACGGCTAAAAAGAGAAAGAAGGGCGTGCACGCTCTGCGCCCCACCACTCGCAATACGTGGACCCTGGGTCCAGGTCCAGCCCGGGTACGGAGTGAACTCATTACGTGTCGTCCTTTCTCACTCGGAGAGCAGTGGCGTGAGAAGTTGGACTACTGGCTGTAGGTTCGCACCGAATGCCATTGCCAACGTTGAAAGAGCCGCCGCGCGCGCCTTGGTTCCTCTTCATCAGCAATCAGGTCCGCAGATAGGGTTTACCTACGTAGTACCTAGTAATCCGTACCTCGCGGCCCTATCCTTATCCGCCATGGATAGCCTGCGTGAACGACCATCGCCCTGCACGGCTCTCCGGCACGCCCTTTCGCGGCGCAGTCCGCCGCCGCGACCCTGCACGCACGGCTGCTTCCACCAGCAAAGCATCACCAACAGCCGAGCCACGACAACGAACCAAAAAAAAAAAAGAAAAAAAAAGCGTGGCACGTATCCCCCCGTGCACACGGTCCCATCACGAGAAACCCAGCTCACAAATCACGAAGCCAACCCACTCGCCGGCCCGTCGGCCAGCGCAGAGAACATGGCGGGCGAGGTCGTACGAGTGGGAGAATGATTGTTGTCCATACCTATTGGCTGGTGGGGTGCTGTGCTCCGGTAGTCCGGAGTGGGCATGGAAACACGTTCAGCCCTATCCATTTCCTATTCGCGCCTGCCGTCTTCGTCTCCACGTGCGTCCCGTTGCTCCATGATCCCCGTTGATGGCGGACCCCGACCCCCTCGCATCTCTTGAACGCCGGACAGACGCAAGGGGCACGGCACGGCGTGATGGCAATGGTCTCGGCTGATTGGCACAACGACAACAACGAATCCTCGTACCACATTACTGCGTCGGTCGTTCGGGGACAAGGAAAAAAAAAACGATGAATCACAAGCCTTTTTTTCTTCTTCTCTTCGATAATTCGTTTTCCTCACGCGCTGGCTGGTTGGCACGCACGCACGCACGCACGGCACGCACGGCACGCACGCACGCAGCGGAGCCGCACGGGAGCTGGGGAGTACCGTAATGAGAGAGATAGGTAGGTAGGTAGGGAGCGCCGGCGGGACCGGGACCGGGATCGGGACCAGCAAGACCCTGCTTTCCGTTTTGTGGTCCGTATCTTTCTTTTTTTTTTTCTTTTTGCGGCACCTAAAAACATCACTCCATCCTTCCCGAAACGGAAGTTTTGCACACATGGAACTTCCCCGCCTCCGGGCAGCCCACCCACCCCATCCATTCCTCGTTCCCGGACATCCGAGGCGAAGGGGTTGATTTGTTGATGGGATGGGAAGGGATCATTTTCCTCGGCATCCGCCCGCAAACGTCGTAGATACCACAGTACGTCGTCGTCTAATCCAGGGTCCCGTCTCTAGGTGATCGGCGCGCGCGCGCGCCTCTTCGCCGTGGATCCCATGCCACCCCCGCCACAGCAGGCAGGGCAGGGTCGCTTGTTATGCGGTCGGTCGGTCCACCAGCCAGCCTCCTTCCTCCTCTCGTCGCTCTCGCCGACATGACGATAGGTAGTCTCGTCGTCCCTCGCCTCGCCTCGCCTCGCCTCGCCTCGCCTCGCCTCCCTCCTGGCGCCGAGGAGACCCGAGATTTCTTCTTCAGGCGGGCGCATCCGTGAAGTCCGACTGGGCGGCGGCGTGGGCGGCGGCCGTCATCATCAATCACTATCATCAATCATCATAATCACCAGCCGTCTCCGTCATGCCGACGGCCCAGCGTGGCGGACGAGCTCCGACCTCGGCGCAGGCGCGCGAGCCAACGAGGAGGAGTTACGCAAGTGTGATGAGCGAGACGAGAGAGGTCGAATGATGCTCGCTCTCTCATCATCATCAGCCGCCCAGGGCTGTGTGCATATGACCCAGCAGCAGGAGCAGCAGGAGCAAGATTGCATCACACGCAGACAACCGGGACCCCAGTGCTTCTCAGGAACAATCCGAGCCAGAGGATGGCTTCAGGAAGACAAGGTGGACCGAGGGTTGCGGTGTGATTAGTCGAGACGGTTGGGATAATAAGACGATCGGGGAAGGAAGGGTCATGCCATGTGAGGTTGGCCAAGGTAGATACGGCGGGAGTTGCTTCACCACACAGACAGCCCCCCTCCCCCCGTCCCCAGTGATGGTAGGTCGCCTAATCATATTGCTTGACTATACACAAGGCTTTCCGCTCTCTGTCATCATCATCATCACCGAACCCGAGGACTCGGTGGTGGTGGTGCGGCTGAAAGCCTGACTGTCCTACCAACAACTCACACGCACGCCCGTAACAAACCTACCAAACAGGGCGTGCATGCGTTGACCTCATCGTGCGCTCAAGCTCAAAGCTCACAAGCAGGGATCGGGAAGAAAAAGAAAAAAAAAAGAAGGGCGCGCGCGCGGGCGATCGATCCGCGAACAAGGCAGCGTGCACGAATGCGGCAGGCAATGTCGTGCAGGGTCCCTTGATCAACCACCAGCCCCGTCGTGCCGTCGTTGAGAGAGAAAGAGGCGCGCCGACAAAAAGGAAAAAAAGAAGAGAAGGATAGGCACGATTGCATCAGTCATGACGACGGTGGTTTGCTTGCTTGCTGTCATGGGCAGGGGCGAGCGATCATTGATCGCCGCTGCAGGTAGGCATTGCATGCCTCGTGCGGCCTCAGCTCTCGTCCTCTCCTCCCACCCACCTCCCATGCTTTCCCCGCAAATTGCCCAAGAGCTGCGGATGCAGGTTTTCATCTTGGTCATCGTCATCGTGACGTTGGGGGGGGCAAGGGTAGAGATTGGCGAATTGCTCCTGGGGGAGGGGGAGGGGAAGGAAAGAGGGGACGTGTGGGGTGACAGCGAGGCTGCTGATGCTGCTGCTGCTGCTGCTGCTGCTGCTGCTGCTGCAATAATGGACCAGGCAGGCAAGCAAGCAAGCACGCAAGCAAGATTCACCTGCGTTTCCCCAGATCCACCCTACAACCCACAAGAAACGACAGCGTGTGTGGATTGACGCCAGCGCATCCCGAACGAGTGGCTCTCGAGAAGTTTCCGGGCATGCGATAAGCGACGCTCGCTGATGTCGTGCTCAGGAGATCTGCTCTGTCCTCTTTTTCCCCTACAGTAGCGACAGGCGCGATGATGTGTGCGCGGGCGCCAACTGACGCAAAGGGCGTGCAACACGCAATCAGCCTGTCACAGCGATGCAGGGTCCGGCGGGAGCAGCAAGTGATGGACGCGAGGCTCGCGCGCCCCCAAGGCAGGGCCGGCAAAGGCGGCGGGAGCTCGTGTGCGGCCAAGTCGCCCTGCATGGCGCTAGGCGCTTGGTGGCATGCGCCACGAGAAAAGCGGTGCTGGGGCTGCTTGCATTCGAAGGTGGTGGCATGTAGGTTGGTAGGCACGGAGTAGGTGGTTTTCGCTTGGCCAAAATTCACATGCCGGGCGACAGGGGAGGTCAAACGCCGACGAAAACCACCACCACCGACAGAGGGGCCCAGACCGGCGTGAATGCGAGCAGAGGAAACAGAGGCGACCCTCTGCGCGGGCGTGGAGGCGAGCAGTAGTTACATGAGAGGCAGCAGTCGGACCCTCTGCAAATGCAGAGCACAACGAGAGCAGTAAACACAGCCGTCGTTGCTCCCACAGCGAACCATGTACGGCGCTCAACAGGCATCAACCCGCCCGCGGCCCAGGGCCCCGCTGTTTTGCTCGGCCCTAGTCGCCGGCAACGACTTCGAAAGTCCTTGCCGCTGCTCTTTCCGCTGCCGCACATCCACTTGTCGTATCGCGAGACGCCCGCTGCAAGCCTCAGCCGAGTTAGCAAGGGCGTGGAGCGGACAGCAAACAGGGGAGTGGGTCTGTTCGGACATGCCTAAGCCACTCGACTCTGACCCCCCACTCATCACTCCTTCAACCCACGCCAGCGCCGCGCCCAGCGAAACGCCCCTCCCCCAGCGAAACCCCATCCACCACCATCCCCCGACATTCGCCGGTGTGGCGGTGGCAAAAAAACCTCCGAGTCTGAAAAATCATCAAACCGTGCACACCGGTGAATTGCGCAACCACGACTGCGCTGAACTCGCCGCTCGCAATTTCGCGCTTGCATAGGCCCCCCCAACCGACGGGAAAGAATGAACGCCTTGCAAGCCGCCGCTGTAGGTGGCTGCCCTGCTCGGTCCATCTCCATCCGACCCATAAACTTTTTTTGTTCGAGCGTTGGCCTTCGCAGTAGGGCGTGGAAAATAAGGGTCCACGACTTGCTGTACCGCATAGCCGTTGCTGCCGTGCACTGCGCAACATCATGCCATTTAGCCAAAAACGGCAATACCAGTGGCCAAACCGAGGCCTCCTCATCACGCGGCAAACTTTGCTTCACCATTATCATTCATATCGCCCGTGCCGCCGCCGCCCGCGTCTCACCAGTCATGTCTTGTATACCTTGAACGCCTAAGAAAAACCTTTCCGGGCGTTGCCGACTCGTCTTCCCTATCACTTCCGTGAAACTCGTGTGCAACCACCCGTGAGGGTCCGGAGCGCGAGACAGAAGCGATGATCATCCTGGTGTCGAAGCAGAGATTGGGTCTTGGACCAGATCTGGGCCTACCCAAAGAACGCAGGACGTCCGCGAGCTCGACTCATAGGATCGACGGTGATCATAGCACGTCCAGAATGACTAAGAGTGTCTTGGCTTGGTTGATGGTTGCAAGCACCATGATGAAGAGCTAGGAACTATTCACGTTCGATTCCAACTACTCACGTAGGTGTGTGCCGTCAGAAAGGCCGGCCGCCCGTACGTAAGATGAGATAAGGTGCTGACACCCAAGACACCGACGTTCGACAAGAATAGCGCATCCGTTGGATGGTAGTCTCCCAGAAAAAGCAAACAGACGGAGAAGAACCGACTACCGCCCGGACAGCCCGACGGACGACGGTAGGGTCGATCCACACCAACACCGACGACGACGACCATGACGGAAATAGAGGCGCGTACATCGAGTATCCTTCTAATCACCATCGCTACCCGTCTTTCCGCTCGTCTTACCTACCTCCCATCGCCACCCGCTCGGTGCCGCTTACCGCCATCCGTTACCCACTCTCTCCACCCTCCACACTCCAAACCCGATCGCGTGCGCTTTTGCGCTTTTTTCTCCATCTCCACCTCCCGAGATACATGGCGGTGTGCATCAGGGTGCAGTAGTACTTCAGTTAGTTCACCTAGGTACCTACTTGCTCTTTGCACCACTGCCACCACCACAACCCATGGAAACAGCCGTCTGCTTCCTTCCTCCGTCCGTCTCTCCGCTCCCCCTCCCCCTCCCCACCTCACCCTCCACTACGCACTAGTGTCCCGCTCGCAAAACCTCCTCCAAAACAAGCAAACGGCAGCCCAGCCGTGAACGTAAGGGTCTGGCGGAACCAAAGGAATTAATTCCCCAGCTCCCCACTCGATAGCCGGTCAGTCAGTCATCAGTCGGTTGGTGGGTCGCCGCCTCATGTCATCAGCGTCGTTGTTGCTTTCGTAGCTTTCCATTCTTTTCGTTCTCCGTCCGGCTTTCTCCGATCCGAATGTGGTAAGAAAGGTAAATTGATGCTGCAGAGTTGGGAGTCAAAGAGTTTTGGGCTACAGTGTTGCGTCCTCCCTCGCAAACCAGAATTACAGGAATCGAACAAACGAATTCAAGACGGAACGCAGAAAAGAAAAGGGAAATGAAATGTGCATGGTTCTAAAAAAAGAGAGAATAGAAGATACCGAGAACGAGACGCAAGCGGCGTCGGTTGGTCGGCCGGCCGGTCCCCTCTAACACATCAATCAGACCCTGAACGATCCGGGGAATGACCAAAAGGCAAAAGCCGCCACCGCCGCCGCAAGCGACAGGGTCCACGCAACTCTTCTTTCTCTGTCCAGACAAAACACATCGGCGTATCCGGTAATCTGATACTGATGAAGCTTTCTTCCGTCCACAGGACATTCTCTGCACTAAACTGACAAACAAACTGCCGCTGTACCATGAAAAAAAGAAAGCGCAAAAGACCCAGAGGGGGTGTTCCCAGAAGAAAGAGAATCTAAATATAAAAAAATATAAAAAACTTTGGTACCTGGGTAACGGGTTCGCCCGTTCGTCGGGGCGCATCGCGCTATTTGGTGGCTTTTCCCATCCCCCTCCTCCCGCGCCGTCGTCATCGTTCGTGGGCGATTAAAAAAAAGAAGCATTGCCCCAAAAACCAAACCAAACCGAAAAAGAAACATACACCAAGCCAGCCTCCCGATAATGTGTAGCAGAGAATGATGAATCTTGAATCTTGTTCTCTGTTGAAGAACTGGAACCGGAACCGGAACCGGAACCGAACCAAACAGGAGAAAGAAGAAGCTTGTAATGCATCGACAATAACGGCGGAACCTATGGAGGAACCATTTGAGCCTCATTCCTTTTTCGACACACACCCGGAAACGGCGACGCCACGCACGCGCCGTATTCGTAAACCCTTTTCTTCCAAACTCGTCGTCGGTGGCTTTCATCAGTCAAAGGAGCTAGACGGGACGACCGGCATGGGTTCGTCTTTTAGACATACCCAAAGAGAGAGAGAGAGAGAGAGAGAGAGAGAGAGAGAGAGAGAGAGAGAGAGAGGCGTCTTACATCGCCCAAGCCCTAACGAACGAATGGTCATGCTAACGCGCGCGCACGCGCGCGACGAACAGGACGTCGGCGACGGAGTTACCCCACACCACATACACACATGCACGCAGCAGGCACGTTCTAAAAGTCTTCTTGTTTGTTGCGCGATCAGCAAGGTCGTCGCCGGCCGCCGCGCCGCGTGGTCCGACTATAGGTGCGGACATCAACCCATGGCCGCCTGCCCTCCCCTGCTATTCCCACGTCTCTATTTTTTATCTCCACGCGGGGTGGGTGGGGGCAGTTCGATTCGACTCACCTCAACGAAAAGGCCTCCGATGGGGGAGGAGGACGACGACGACGACGCGGTGTGTGGGTGTATGTATGTGTGTGTGGGTAAGTAGACAGAGAGAGACTAGACAGTGGTAGACTGTGGGCAGTTCTTTTTTTTTCTTCCTCCCCTCTCCAATAATGCAGAGAGAAAGCACAACAACGCACTGGCTGACCTACCTTAACAGCTAGCTAGCTAGCACCATTGCGAGCTAGCCAGCCACCACACACGCACACACGCACACACGCACGCACGCACCTACCCACCCACCCACACCCCACCTCTCCCCTCCTCCCATCCTCCAACCCAGTCCAATGATTGGTAAGCCCTGTCTCTCTTCCGCGACACAGGAGTGAGTGGTGACTGGACCCTGCTCTTGCCTCGCCTTGCATACATACACCCACCCCGGCCACTGCGAGAAAAAAAAATAAAAGGCTTGCTCACTTGCATTCGACGGATGATTGGCCGTTGCCGGGGAGGGGAGGAGGGGAGTTTGTCCGGCCGGTTCTAGATACTAGGTAGACCGCCGCCCTGCATGTAAGGTAGGTATGAGGGGTGAGGGGGGCGTCGCGCCCGGCGGTCGGCAAAAAGCCGCAGGTTGTACGGAGCACGCGTGGTGCATGTCAGATTTTGTCTGTCTGTGTGTGGGTGTGTGTGCACGAGAATCGTTTTTTGCTACTCTCGATGGCTGGGGTCGCGTGGTTTTTTTCTTCTTTCTTTTCGCTGCTGCTTTGGTTTGCTCACGCACGCACGCGGTGCGTGCGTCGTGTTGGAGGAGGAAGGCTGGAAGTCTCCGCTACATTTCACATGCAGGGTCCAGCAAGAACAAGGTCGGCGACTGGCCCTCGGCCAACGGCCCTCGTCTGCGCCTTCCCATTCCCTTTCGGCCTGTGGCGTGAGAGTAGTAAGAGCCAAAAAAAAAATTCAAAAAAAATGCAACGGTAATTTGTCAAGTGTCAGTTTCGACAGTTACGGTGCAGACTGCCACCCACCCACTTGCTTGCTTGCTCATCACTCGCGTTGGGTCCTTCCCGAAAGCTGACTACGACGACCCACCTTACATACGCCGAA